GGTGGCACTAGTGAGCAACGGAGATTTAAGAACACCATTATAAAACAATCATTTAATATGTAGAAAAAAGCAATACAACTGGTTCCTATCCACCCCTTTTATGCTTCCAACGTGCTTATACCTTTTGAAACAGCCTAATGATCGTGTAAACATCATTGCAGAACTGGATTGCATTCATTGTGTGAATTCTGTACAGAGCACAGTTTAGCAAAATACCACGTCTTGTGATGTAAAATGATACTATTTGCATGCATTGTTTTTCTAATATTTAACTGAAAAACTTATTGAACGTCTACAAATGTTTCCTTACAAAGCATGGATTTTGAGAGAAAGCTAGACTGAAATAATATGCAAAGCAAAATGCTAAAGGAATATATCGTGATAAGTGTATAGCTCTCCCATTTTAGTAAAATTGATATAAAATGGGACCGGTTTTCTTTCCAGCACATGCCCCTTAACTGGGTTAATGTGCAAAATTTTGTCTCCATTTATACAGAAAGATTTTTATTTATTTTTAACATGCAAGATTATTGTACTTATCTGCTCCTAGAAAATATGTACTGTATAAACATATCCTTTATCTTGAACTTCAGTATTTCTGTGCTTCCAAGAAGAGTAAAAACATCTGGTTAAATTACTGTGTGTGAGTCCAGTGTGCAGGCAGACTCCTGTACAAGCTGCATAGAAAATAAACCTCGGTTTCGATTCTTTTTGTTTTCACAAATGTTCAGTGTGACCGCTCTGTCGAAATCGCTTCTGATACATGTCAGCACGATGCCAACCGATGTAATGAGACGCTTATTTTCCGAATAAAATCGAATTATGTTCTTGTCCTACAGCTCCCAATGCTTTAAAGTTTACTTCTGTTATGTGTGCTCCCCCCACCAAAGCCCCCCAAACCGGACTGGTTCAAAGCGATCCGCACCAGCGGTGATGGCTCCAAGGGACTGGCTGGACGGAGTTGTCATGTGTCTGCCTGTCTACACTTGCTGTGCAGAACATCCTCTCACCTGTACAGCAGGCACAGACAGGCAGTCACATGACAACCCAGCCTGAATGACAGCCGGCCAGTGGGAAACAGCTCTCACACCCCAGAGCATCTTCACCACGAGCTACAGCCAAGAGCCCGCTCTGGATCTCAGCCGCTCGGTCAGTGACCAAGCCGCGTACTGCGACCCACCTAGAGACAAAGCAACAGTGCCTATAAAAGACAATAAAACCCACTGCTGAAATTTTTACTGTGCTTCCTATAGTACTCTTTTCCTAGTCGTTCTGATTAACTCACTAACGAGAAGTTTTATTTGTACGCAGCTTTGCGGCACCGTTGTAAATGGGAGGACAAAACACCCTCACCCTTCTCGGCCCCAAAACTTGAGCGACTGGCGTTGTTAGCTCCCAGCGGTATCAAAATCACTAACATCCCTGTTAGCCATCGCAGCCGAGCGCAGCTTACTGTGTGGCAAGTTAATCCTAGAAACAAGCACGATGGTAGAGCCTAGAGAAATTTCTCCCCTTTTCGCTCTGTTACCTCCTTACTTATTTTCATGCCTCCCTCCCAAACCACGCAGAATTGGGAATATGCTGTGAAATTACAATCTGAACTGCATCTCTAACTTGATACTGCCCTTTACTATTGAAGCAAAAAGGAAATATTGGATTGGGAAATAAGAAAAAAAAAAAGATTTTTCCAATAAACAAAAATTTCTCATTTTGATAAGTGCTTATCCTAGAGACCATCTTGGCATCCTTTGTGCACCAGTAACGCCACTGAAATCTCTGGATGCTTTGGAAGGAAGAATGAATTAAATTCTCAGGCCATGCCCTGTAAAAACGTTACATTGCTTTACAAACGCTATCCTTCTGTTTACGATCAGGAGCTCGCTGATTCTCAGGCTACAATGGCGTTCCACGTCCCCAAAGTCCACGTTAACGTAGAAGCGGCTAATTCAGAAACTTCACATTTGCAGGTTGACTCCCAAACAAGCCTGAGCACAAAAACGTACAGCTTTTTGTGCTACCAAAAGCAGTAACAACTGAGAGCTAAGGCATTCAGAATTTTTTTTTTTTGGTAGATATGCCTCATAACACTTCAGCTAGTACATGGGATGCTCTACTAAAGCAAACTGTATTTGCGACATGAATGAAGGTCCTAACATTGCACTTATTTACAAGTCCCAACGCAGCACACAACATTTTCCACGCTTCATTTTAAGCGAGTGGAAAAGCACAAAGTCACGGTCACGCAACAAATTTGTGAACACAAGCAACTGTACGCAGGATCAGAAACTAATTCAGATTACTATTCACATAACTAATACAACAACTGCTTTACCCACACTGATCCACAACTACAAAACTAAAATGCATTCTTAGGCACTGATTCCCATCTCATCAAGCATTAAAATCCCGTTGTATGTTTGAGCAGCAACAAGACCATGTCAATAAGGAACAAAAGAAACAATTGGTTCCTTTTTTTTTTTATGCTGATATCATACAACAAATTTTGAAATCTTCTGCCTCAAAATGCATTCCACTGCATTCTTCCCTACAGAAGCCACAACTCACAAATAAGGGAAATAATTTACATCCTCCTAATGGCACTAGCAAGCAACTACTCGCATTCAGAGTGATTTTCATCTCAGAGTAAATTCCAGACTATACAAAGCAGGCTCAGCTTACACCAGAGGGGGTACACAGCCCTAGAGGTCCCAGCGAGCGCTGCGGCTTTGTACAGAACATTGTCAGAGCTCTCTGGTGCACAAGAAGCTGCAGCATTCCTTACTCAGGGGTAGAAGCGCAGGGGGAATGAACTCATCTCTGTGGCTGGCCAACTGCTTAGGAGAACAGAGGTGAAACCAGACTTGCTGCATCCTCCCCAGCCGCAAGGAGAGGCTCCTGCTACCCTGTAAGGACGGCAGCAGTGACTGGTCCCCGTGCAGGAGGCGCAGGGGACCTGAACTCCCTGCGACCTCGCAGCGTGCGCACCCGTACAGAGCCAGGCACAGTCCAGACACGTAAACATGGGTATCACTTCACACATCGCTGAAGACTCCATATCTTACCAGGGTGGAGATACAAGAGCATGCAGCCTTCTCAATAACGATCCAAGAACAGGATGTAACAACTACCAAACCAAGCTGAAAGTGAGGAGAACATTTTAAGGACACCAAATGCAATTGTACACAAACTGGAATCCAGCCAGGAGACCGAATGTTTGCTGCTTTATTTTCAGAAGCCAGTAGTTTTGTTTCTGAAACAAGTCACTGGTCTGTCGATTAACCTCATGGTCAAGCTGTGGCTTTTACCATCTTCAGAGAGCATCTAAGACACACCTGGTTAAATTTTAAGTCCTACTGGGAAAGGTCCTGAAGCAATAAAATAAACAAAACAGTATAACTTATTCCTAGTTCAGACTAACCAAATTATAATCAAATTATAAATCTGTACCTAAAAAGGCACCTCTTCCACCAGCAAAACAAAGAATACTACGCTATTATCTTCTTACTACTGAAAGAAATTCCTGAGTGATCTCCCATATCAGCCTGAATGAACTACAGATATTTGCATGAGTCTCAAACACAAATGTTTAGCAATTAAAAAAATCTGTGTTTTTTATTATTGTTGTTGTTTTTGTAAATGGCATATGGAAATCATACAGCAGCCAATTCCCTCTGTGTACTGTTCCAAGATTTCCAGGTGACTCTCTCTAACAGACCATGAAAACAAACCAGTTATTTTTATGTTGTGTAGGGGAGGGCATTCCATAAATATTTTGAAGAATTTTTCCTTTTTCCACTAAACAAAGATCAGACACACAAAAAAAAAACAAACATCAAAACTAACTCAGAAGTTGCCACGGCACATTTTAGCTACATCTCCAAGCGCCTGAGATTGAACATAAGAAGGGGTGCTGCTTTCACCACATCACTTACCTATAGTTACCTGTACCTAGCCTAAGACACCACGTTCTAATAGATTCAAGGTGAATCAGAAAAAAAAAGACAGCTTCAGAATTTTCACATTCATAAGGGCACCTTGGCATTTCTTTTTAATTTATTTTTATGATGCTACTTCAAGCTGTATTTCAATAATCTAAGAATAACACTTCTCTTGACCTAGCACTTGGCTCCTCTCCTCTGACTAACATGTAATTGTTTTCCTGTTACAGTAAATACATTTGAATCCCTGTAAACCTTAAATAAACGGGCAAAGCGTAAGATCCAGAGGCTAGATCTTCAACATTAACCTAATTTATCCATCAATCTTATGATCTACTTAAAATGCCCAAATGACTACTGATTAAAAAACCACAACTTTACTGACCAGCACAATTTCCACCATCAGCAGCACTACTGAAGTAACTAACTTATCCTAAATACCACAATAGAACTACCTTTGAGTTTTGGTTGAAGATACCATTGCTAACATTGCCGGAAAAAAGGACTATGCAGAACAGACTAGCAAAAAAAAAGGTTCCCAAAGTTAGCCTAACAACATATCCAATAGGCATACCTTTTTCCAGTTATCTTATTACTCACCTCAGATTTAATAATTAGCACCAACCTTTCTTAGCAAGATGCATTTTCTGTTTTTTCAGTAGCAAATCTGAACAGCCATAACAGTTGGCTACAGAACTCTGTAGTCAGGCTTTTCAGCCTCTCAGAATACAAGATCAAAGAACAGTTGTTATCACTAAATTAACTGCTGGAATTACTTTGAAGAGTAACTGTGCCTAGGCACTACACCTCCCCAGAAACACAAAAAACACAAACTGAAAAAAAAAACACTCCACACAACACCCCGTACTTGTTACCAATGTTTGGACAGAAGTCTTAGTTAAGTATTCTCTGTGAATCAAAAATTGAAAGTTTAACGGACACAAGTAAAACCTTAAACCATTCTTTCAGGTCAGTGCAAGCTGATTTCATGTTTTAAGCTGGTACCAGAAGAGTGAGTAAATATTGTTTTTTTGCAATAGACAGAAGTCATTCATTCCTTACCTCATCATCTTTATACCAGGACAGGCTTTCTGCAGTTAGGACGAACCAATATTCCTTGGATCCTCCTTTCATGATGCCGATATTGTTGATGGTCAGCCAGCCTTTCCGGATGACCTGTGCAGAGGTGCAGTCAGGCAGAAGTTAAGTTCTTTATTCATTCAATGTAATTCACCTGCAGCATTCATTATTTTTAAAAAAATACTTGCTAAATAAAACAAGAATGGGTACTTTTTTTTTTCAGTCCAGCAAATTCAAAACATTTTTTTTTTCAGGTTCCTGTCATTCAGGAAAAAAATAAAACAAAGTGAAAATAACATTTTCAGTCAAAAGGCTGGAGAAAAAGAGAAACCTAACCTACCATCTCGCAGTGACAAGAAGAATGAATGAACTAAGGATAACGTAAACTTAAAAAAATTTATTTGCTGCATAATAAGACAAGTAAAAGTCCATACAAGTTACATATGGTATTCATACTAAACTAGTGTAAGGATTGAGGTCATTTCTGAACTTGGAAGCTGGGAACAGCACCTACTTTCTGGGGAAGCAAGAAGCTTCTTGCACACAATGGGGACTTGCAGAAGCAGAGAGGTCTTCCACAGCTGAATCCTCTTTAAATTAAGATAGAAAGTGGCAAGGAGAGGTATATGAGAGCTATTTCCTTCTTGTAAGGTAGAACAGAAAAATAAAAGAGAAAAAACCTATGACGGCAATAAAATTGAGGGAAAGATGGGAAAAGCAGAGCTTGGAGAAAATAAGTAACACTCAAAGATGAAAGAACAGAGGGGAAAGTATACCTGTAAATACTAAGGCCAGGAGTCCACACTGTGCAGAGAAAGAGGGACAACAGAAAACTTAAGAGAAATGAGAACTCCAGAGATGAAGCAGAAGACAGACTAGTCACGAGGACTGGTTTATGGATCATACAGAAAAAAAAAATTAATTTTATTGGAACACTTATTGTTTTCCAATACATACAAGAAAAAGCGTTCCTTCCTATCGTACTTTGAATGAGAAAATAGAACTCACCTAATGTCACAGATACAGGCAACCACAAACTGTTCTGTTTCTCCCCACAGAAAACCCTTTACTTGCCTATGAAGTATTGAGATGGGAAGAAGAAATGCTCAAAGAAGCCCTCAAGAACTCCCTCAAAGTCCCACATGTGTGATCAAACATGTTTCCCCATGCTTTTCAGGAAATTTGAGGCTGTACCATTTGTCCCATATGACTTGACAAGACTACTAAGTTCATTTTCACAGAGAGCCAAAGAAAACCATTCAATATCCATGACCTATTCCTTGTCATTCATAGAAGTTTCAGAATCAGAATTCCCTTTCATACACCATTCATTTTAATCAGTTTTGGGTTTGCACATGGCAAGGGACTGGGCTGTTGACAACTAACCCAAGTAAGAAAGAGATTAGAAGTTGCATGTGACTGGCAAAAATATTTGTGCTGCACATAATCGAAGAGCACCACTTTCATTTCAAGTAAGATGATAGTGGTTCGTCCATTCACTACCAATGAGGCCATAACATAAGTAAGGAAATGACTGAAGATCCAGAAACAGCCTGTGGGCTGATCACTAAGAACTGATTTGGTTATGAAAATTCACTAAGCAATGAGAGAACTGGATGTGACTGCTGTAGAGAGAGATTCAATGGCATGGCCTGAGCAGACTGGATGGAGGAGCCAGTACCGCAAAGGTTTCCGCAGAAGTTTATCATTGCTTTTAATATTCATGTTCATTTAAAAAACACTAAGTGGAGAGGCAGCATTACTGTGTACAAACAGACATGGAAAGCTTGTCGGAGTGCAAGTTAAAGGAAACATACTGATATGATTTGGATTACACATCAAATCCTCGTTTTATGCTGTTTATTGAAGCAAAATTTTAGCAGGAAACACGTAGCAGGCATATTTACCAGATGAGTGTACTGGCCTTCAGTACACTTAAGTATACAGACTAAGTTGTAGAACCAAACCAATTACGCTTTTTTTCTGAGCTGAACTACACTAATGCAGCCCCATGGAAGAAATTTTAGGAAAAAGCCAGGAGATTAAGGTTCTCCAACAACCTGAACTTAGGCTCATAACAAGGTGAGCTGTATTTGTGCAGCAGAATAAATACTTTACAACTTCACAGCAAATGCACAGAGGTGGTGCTTATCCCCATGCTGCAAAGAAACTCAAATAAGATGAGAACAGAGGACACTGTTGAACCACACTGCCTGCAATTCAAGAGGCTGTGTTGCTTCCAATAAAGAGCATATTGCATACAAGAAGCACACTTTTCAGTATTGTGCTGGCCTTGGCTGCCTGGTTTGGATGCAAATCTTTAAAAAGGTAAATGACTTAAAGACAGGTGCCACAGTGGGGATAAAGAGGTGGTTTCCAGAAGCAAACTAGTGAGAAACACCTAAGTAGCAGGCTCAAGACCCTTACAAGTAATGAATGCTTCAAATGGATGAGTAGTACTCCGCATATGCCAGTGAAGGCTTTCCCTCATCATTACAACAGGCTTTGCAGAACAATTAACAAAGTCTATTTTTCCTCCATTTAAACAGAACAACATTTGCATTAGAGGAATCAGCACAGGCTAAGCTAAAGTTTTGAAATCTAAGCTATATAAGCCGTTTAAGAAGTAATGAAGCTTTTTGTACTGCCTTTCTAAAGTAGGGACTACCTCGATAACTCCAGAAGACCTTCTTGCTCCAGTCCAACACATCTCCCCATGGATGCCTAACCATCACTGGGTGTGGACAGAAACAAGCTGACTTGCTGATACAAACATTGGTCACTGTCTTGCAAAGAAGGAATTTGCCAGTTATTTCCTCAAAAATCCTGCGTGTTGAGGATTAGATCCAGCTGTCATTCCCCCACAGCACAGCATGAAGAGCAGTACAGAGCTGTATCTTGGGGACATTTTTTCATGTGTAAATTGCTAGAACTGCTTATCTATATACCTCTCTGGAAAAATAGGATACTGCCTGCTCTAAAATATCCTGAACACTACAACAAATCATAATCATACACAATACTTGGAAGCAGTTCCAGGCAACACCATGGGAGAGAAGGCAATCTTGGTGTCCTGTAATATCCAAGGAGTAGCAGTGAGACTTCAAGTTCTTTTTACTGAATCGTTCACATTTCCCAAGCAGTTTTTTTTTTTCCCCAACAACAAACAGCTAAGCTTTAAAAATAGTCAGTACCAGTGTTGGGGTCAAGGGATAACAAAATTTCAGATCATGGTGTAAATGCAAAACAGTGACAGCTTTACTTTCCAGAAGAACTGAATAGCACCTTACAATTTCTCAAAAGATAACCCAAGATGTATTTAAGAAATAAATGTCCTTCCATAGACAGACAGCAACAAGGATTTTTTAAGAGCTTTTTTTGAAGTAAAATGCTCTGATTATGTTTTGTTTGTTTGTTTGTTTTTAAACTATCCTGTTAGATATATCTTACAGTACTCAGCATGGAAAATGAAGGTGGTGTTTTTCATTATTGTTTTCACTAGTTCGTTTTCTGGTTGGTTTGGATTTAAGAGATCCATTTCAGTATCTTCCATCATATTTCTAAGTGTCACTCTGCACAAACCGGATATTAGTGACACGATTTATGTACCTCAGGAAGGTGAAAAATGTGAGTATTGCCAGAAGCTAGTGAAGACAATATTCTGACCGGTAGTTGGACTCCATGTACAGGATGAACAAGAGATGACACAGTTCCTTCCTTCAGGGTCCTGATATCTAATCTGGGTGTCTGAAAAATGAAACTTCGAGGGTACAAAAGCACATGAACAAGCCAGAAGGAAGTCATTTTCTGATAGTTCCGCTGCACAAAACTGAAATCTGTTGTTCTTATTCTCCACCATTTCATGGATAAACAGGAAAGCAGGATTTGATATAAGTACATTTTATGTATTGCTGTATGACTTACTAATGCCATTAAACCAAAGAAGATATTTGTGAAAGAAATACATTAGAGACTCAGTAAGCATTCCACTTCTTTCAAAGAAGTATTTGAACGATGATTTAAGGAAAGACAAGCAAAATTGGATGAGCAGAGAGAAATGCAAGTGTAAACATTATGAGACTGGCTACTTCAGCAACCACACAACACAGCATTTTGTTGAATTAACATAACTCTCCACTGAAGTTACATTATGTAACCCCGTTGAAATACTTGTGAACACATAACACGAGAGAATAAAAAGGAACAACAGATTAGAGGAGAAGCCTAACACAGCATTTCACCGTAATTTGCTAAATAACAGAATATAAATGGATCAGATTATGCATCTTGTCTGTGTTCAGCATCAAAACAGATCTTGAAGTGACATTGCTTCCCTGGAAGATACATCACATAACTTCAAGATAATGGCAGTGGCCAAGTCCACACCTCTACTTCAAAGTAGAATTAAGTCTTTACCAAAGCAAAACACTTAGCAGTGAAAAAATGAAATATGCTTCCAAATGTAGTTAAATAAAGACTGAGGTGATGCAGTCAATCATCAAGGAATGATAACCTAAAAAATAAGTATCAGTAAAGGTCATTTAGAACAACAATATTTTTCTAGTCCTGAACACATGAAAAGTCAACAGCAGCATTTCTCATGCTAGGATATTTCAAAGTTAGCATCATGTTGTCATCCACAGGCACCACCTTTAGAATCATTTACAGAAACATTGGCATTTCTTAACAGAACAGCCTTGCAATGTTTTTTTGACACCCTCACTAAGTGTGGCACAAATTTCCACTTCCACCTACTTGCTCTAAAAGATTCTGAGAACTCTTTTGTTCCTTAGTCATGCAAGGTAAACTGATTTAAGTGTATCTGAAGACAGGAAGCAGCAAACTATGTTAATGAAGCAGGATTAATTAAAAAGAAAAAAGAAAAAAAAGGTGCTGCTAGAGAAAAAGTTACTTATTAGCACAATAGCTGAGGCCAACTGATGGGGTCTGAACCCTACCTGTGTTCAGAGGAAATTAATCAGATTGTGGATGTAACGTTGTAATGGAGACAAAACCTTCGTACCCAAATCTCCAAATCAAATCGCTTGCACAGTGACATTAAACTCATAGTTCAGAATAAGCACCTTCTCCAATTGCAGGGGCTACTTCAAGCACAGCAGCAGATTTTACCACAAAATTAGAAACACAAAACAGAGTTTTATATAAATGACACATAAACCTCTATAACTGGAGTAATCTGCATTCTTGCAAATTGTGGTATTGACTGGGCACATGGATCGTGACACCTTTGTTTTCAAAGGTTTATCAAGAACGGGAGTTTTAAACAAAACCTAATCTCAACATACATAACACAACAGTTAGGAGTAGGTCAGCCTTCAGGATCCAGATCTTGCTAGCGTGCTGCATAAAACCAAGCATTACATTGATTATTTCAAGCAAATTAGAAGACAGACTAACCTGTGGCTTAAAAAGAAACTTTGTGGAGTCAGGTCAAAACCTCAGGCGGTAGCAAAGGAAAGACAAAGAGAGGCCAAAGATTGAGCATGAGAGGATAAATTAGTAGTAGGGGAAAAAGGAGCAAAAACATGTTAAGAGGAATTGGCATCACACTTCTTCCAAAAATATGAGCTCACCTTATTTCTGAGATACACACAAACAGGTAATAGTTATCTGCACCATTCCAGTTCAAAGCAAATCACAAAATGAAAATTAATGTGATTGCAAATGAGCACCTCATAATTTTGAGAAAACAATGATCTCGAGATTTAATTCAGCTGCTGTTAGAATCAGTGCTGCCTAATCCTTTTTCCTTTACTGAACCTAAGTTTGGTTCAGGTCTGTTTGAAATGTTAACTAATATAATTTGATAATATGGCAAAAAAAAAAATGGAAAAGTGGATAAATTTTAAGCAAAGATATTAACAAATAATGCACAAGATAAAGATTTACTTCTTACACCTAACCATCACTGAACCAGGAGTAATCTGTTACAAAATTAACTGCTGTTTAGACAATTAATTCTAATTAGTAATATTAAATGCATTCACATTTATTTACTCATGAGCTGGAAGGGTTAGAAAGGAGTCTGTCCATGATATATTGATCCTCCTTTGCTATGAGAAGAATGCTAAAAAGACTTCAGATATTTCTAAGTTTATTAATAAATTCACTTTTTCTATCAGAGGCAATTCCTTTGTATAAACAAAACACCAAGAACAGTACCTGTACCCATAAACATGTTCATTTAAGCAAAAGCTGAAGTTTCATTTTGGTTACCAAGAACTGTAATTTGCCCACCTTTCCAAAAAAATGTTTACTATAAACAAAGGCACTTACATCAGATAAATACTGCTTTCCAGTTATATAATAAACACCAATTAGTCATTTTAGTTTGAGAAACTTGGTCAGTTATAAACATATTAATTTTATCCAAAGTTTTCTATAACATTTGAAGTTATATTTGTTCATAGTTGTAACAGCAGGTTAGTAGCAGTCAAGTGATGAACTGCAATTATACTTTGTTGAGGAAGGGTTACAAACAAAACAGCTTCACATTAAGTAGTTTAGTAGCAAGTATTAAACAAACCAATGAGTTAGAGACAAACTTTGCCCTCTGAGAAGCTAAATGAAAAAGCAACAATAAAGCTTACAGAACTTAGCTCGTACAATTTGCCTTGAAGGCGGTAGATTGGTTCCCTGAAATAGCAAATTGCAAAAGTAAAGTTTTATTTCAGAAACATTTTCTCATTCTTTTCAACTCCAAACAATTAACTTACAAACATCTGTTTATTATCCTTAAATAAAAGGTTCAGCAAAGCCCTTATATCAATAAGTAATCAAGTTGCAACATATAATTTAAAACTCCAAGCTGCTTCTCCACTTCTTTAGAGAAGAAACATTCACTTAATTAAAAAACCATTCATTTTATATGTGTATTTTTGAAGAGTCAGATAACTGGTCGATTTTCCTTTTAAGGGACACTCCGAAGTGATGACAGTTGTTGTGTTTGACACATGTTCCGGCACAGCTAGATAAGAAGGAAGTCTCTCCTCAGATGGGAGAGACAAGTCTTTGAAGCCATTTCAGTGTTTAGACCTTTCAACTTTTTTTCATTTTAGCCCAAACCATGTATTACATCAAAAATGCCACTCATGCTAGCCAGACTATGGGGGATCATCATATTCAAGTTAATGAGATTACTGCAACTAACAACTTAAAAAATAACTAGCAATTTCTGGGTGGGAGGAATAGGTTGGGTTTCCATGCCCAAAAACATGACAGAGTTTTCAAAAAGTGCTAGAACTCTGATCTAAAACAGCACAGTAGGAGATTTTCTGAAATCACAAGCTTAACACTTAAACTCAATGCTCACATTTGAAAACCTTAACTTTTCACCCCATTACACATGAAATCATCAGGAAGACATTCAATGTGGGTAGCTCATTATAAAAAAGGTTTTTTTCCCCCACTATTTTTTTTATATCCCTTTAAAGTGTGTGCTATTTCCATTTTTTTTCGTGTTTAAGACTTTGCAAAACCCTCAACTTGAGCAGAAATCCTCAAAGCTGTAGAATTTTCTTTTTTTTTAATTTCATATTAAAAAAAGGATTGATCCTTTGAAGTACCAAGCACCCCTGGCCTGCACAAAAGCAAAGAACGAAGCAAGGCTCAGGAGCACTTAGCATCTTGCAGAATCAATCCCATATCATTATGGAATCAAAAGAAATAACCAACTGATTTTATTAATGAATCTCAGTGAAAATGGCAATTAATTTCAGACCAACAATCAGTTATTTTTTGTTTCCTTTGAGAGAGGACAATAGTACACAGTCAACATCTTCATGAGGCCAACTGAAAGCTTTCAAAAGATGTAAAAGCAAAAATGCTTTTGCGTGCTGAATTGCCCCTTCATTGCTACTAAGCTGTGAACACGTGAGAACTAGTAAAAATAACTGTATGACAAAGCACACACAAGCAAGTACTCACCAGTGGTTTGGATTCTGAAATTCACAAGTTCGCAGTTAATGAAAAAATACATTTGTGTGTAACATGAAAGATTTGATGTGTTAAATGGCATGGGAGGGGAGGCACCAAACAGCAGTGCAAACAGTAGCGGGTTTTTAAACAATAAATGATGATAACAATGAAAGTCAGGTGGCTCTGAAAACTTCAGTAAAAAGGAGATGATGATGCATTTTATATATGTTTCAAGCAGAAAAGATAAATTATGGATGTACAAAAAATAAACGCAGCCAAGAAAACCAGACAGCTGGGATTAACTTGCACATGCCATTATCCATTCTCTGTTAAGGTGCCTACCTGATTTCCCACTGCACTTTTGTTAACCTGACTGCTTCTTTGTTGGGCACTAAGGAAAGCAGAGGAAAAAAGTTATACTGAAGAAACTCAAAAACTAAACCAGTTCCTGAGCAGCAGATTTTAGTAGTAATAGTTCCTTATGATTCCAGCACAGAAAGCGAGTGTAACAAAGATACACAATAAAATCATTGCATACAGGTGCATTTTACAACTACTCTTCTTACTTAACGTACTTACTCTTATATGAACATTTGCCTGCTTAGCACAGAAGAGATACGCACACCTGACAGCTCCTACTAATCATCTCCTTTTGCAACAACATCCTACTTACATTGGTAAAGGTTACTAAAAGCACAGGGAAATTATGGCTCATGGGGGGTAACTTTGGAAACATTAGCCTCTATAAATATTAGAAAAGAGATGAAAAGTGAGACATTTCTGTTATTTAGAGCAGTACAACAAAATCCTCCCCTGCTGGAAGCTTCCTAATAGCCTTGTCATGACAGTTTGTTTTGAATATTATTCTAATATTTATATGCACTGTGAGGGTGTAAATATAGCCAATGGATGAAGCTGTCATAAAGTTGGTTCAAAAAGCTGGAACCTTGCAAGAGCAGAGCACATTCGAAATTAAAACGTTTTAAAAATATTTTCCTCAATGCTTGAACTCTGGTAATGTCAACTCCTGAAACAAAACACACTCCTGTCTCAAACACACAAGTTGCCATTAATTCTAAAAACCTTTGTGTTATGTGGCTTCTAAGTAATAGGCTATACAATTACAATATCGCTGGAAAAAGGGAAAAAGTGTTCAAGCAGCAGGCTTTGCTACACAACTACCAGAGCAGCAACCGGTGACAGCAAGTTTTCTTTGGATTAGATTATACCATTTCAGCAGGCATTAATTAACTGACGAAAGAGCATACGTATTAGATCATCTACAAACACTCCTCTGAAAGAGTAAGAAAGAAAGATGTGCTTGGATCACAGCCTACAGGCCCAAGGCTGAAACTACTTTGTACACAGCTGCTGATCCAAAGAATTGCTGGGGCACCAAACTCATCTCTGTCCCAACTCTGATCGTGCCTTTAGGGCCATAATCTATCAAACTGGCAGTCTACATGTTGTCAGGGAGAAGATCCACAACCATGTTTATTCCATGTGCCTATTTACTGGGCTTAGCTCTCAATCACCCAGATACTTTTGACCAAATGACAGCGCACGTCTCCAGTACATCTGAATTGCATAAATTTGGGGCCATAAATTATGATTAAATAACCTGCATACAGAAAATACAGCACTAATCCCTCACCAATTCTCATCTGTTGTTTGAGAAGCACATAATAATATGGCTTTACAAAACCTAATTGCCATTCTTTGGGTGTTCTTTTTATTCTCCCCCCATTTCACTGCCTTAGGGAGGCTAATTAAATAGACAACTAACATCGTACTAAAAAAACCCACATCTTTTAGCAATAGCCCAGCAACTGGTTCTTTATTTACTGTTCTAAATACAAATTACCCTTCACGTAGATTGAATCACGTAGCTGTGTTTGAGTTACACCAACTGGAAACAAACCCAATCCCAACATTTTACCACTCATTCTGCTAGATGTGACAAGTATTAATATTCTTAAGATTTCACCCAAAAGAAATAAAACCAAGTCATAACTTCACAAAGCTGTTCTAAATATTGGCTTTCTTAAATCTTTCTGAAGTACTGTACCCGCCTTAGGCCCCGCAATGCTCCAAGGTGACTTGAAATACCTTGTGCTCATTCTTATGAACAAGGTTCACAGGACTTACACTTATAAAACACTGCAGTCACAGGAAACAGCTGGCTAGGATACTCAGCAAACCAATGGAAATACTAAGGAATCTGAGGAAGCTACAGTTTGGGATGTTTGGATACTGCAAAAACCCGTATGCTACCCAGATTTATTTCGTTTTCAAATTCTAACATTACTGCTACAACAACACTATGATTACAGGCTAAAATCTGTATTTTCGACTGTTTAGCTCATAAATAAGTTTTACACTTAAAATTGTTCTCAGTTAATCAAGCTTTCTCTCCCAGTGGATCACAAGTCAACAAAAAACACTTGCCTAGCCATCAATTTCAACCCCTGGAAAGACTTGCTTAGACTTAGAGTTATTAGTGAACCTCAGTGGAAGGCCATTTGTTACCTGCTTACACCTCTTGCACAGGGGCTGGGGATTTCCACATGTCTACTGGCAGAAGAGGAAGAAGCTTTCCCAAGAAACTGAACTTGGACATTTTAACTCCTTGGAAAAGGTGCAGCACTGAGAACCACAGACTGAGCTACAGGCTCAAGCAACAGCATCTCTGAAGGTTTTATTTCCAGGGGAGAGACATACTGAAATAGCTCCAGATGTACCTGGCACTCCACAATCCAAGGCTATAAAACATGGGAGGCTCCAACTTGACACAAGGAAACATCTTTTCATAGTGAGGGGAGACAGGCATCAGAACAGGCTGTACGGAGTAGCTGGTAAATCTCTGTTTTTGGAACTTTTCAGGATCTGATTGGACAAAGCCCCAAGCAAACTTGACTGAACTTAAACATCACCCCTCCCCTGAGCAGGAGGTTGGACCAGTGACTTCCCAAGGTCACAACACCCACCATGAATACATATGAAGTGTTTTTAGCAGGCTTTTTCCTGTCAGGAAAGGATGAAAAGAAGTAAATAGCAGGCAGGTTGTTGTCTTGACCTCTAGAAGGCCAGCTACCATTCCTACATCCTGCCTTTTGTCAAGAGAACTGATAGAGATATCCAGGACCTGCAAACAATATTAGAGAAAGTTGTTCAAACCAAACATAATCAGTGCTTGGCTTTGCCTTTCTTTTCCCTTCTCAGCATATTAATTTTGTGTCTTAAACCTTCAAGTCATACTGTCAAAGATGTAGGCCTTCATTTACAGTGCTATCTAGACTAGCCCAGAACATAACAACGACTACAGTGCCAAACTTTGTTGCCAACGCCACACATCGATGAAACCTGTTACGATTCCAAATGCTCTTATGGCAAACGAATACGACTGAAGAAACATTTATTCTTCAAACTGTGCAGGCACCTTTATCATTTTGACTGGTATCAAAGTGCTGGTATGAAGTTCCTGAGGAACAAAACTGCTGGAAGCTGGGCAGGACGTTATGGAGAATATTCTCACTGTCTTTTCAATCAAGCGAGGACATCATCAAACCAGGCCCTGGAGGCTATTCTGTTACTATTATCTTCTAGAGCCAAACAGCAGGCACACTTAAAATTCAGTGACATCTATTACTCTGAATAAAACTGTTTCACATGGAATCACAGCTCCCAAAATATGTATTAGCAACAATACAGCAATACCACCGATAACACATATTTCAGTGGTCCTAAAACAGATGCAACAAGGGCATCAGCTCTAAAGCTGCCTCCTGAGACTGATGTGATCCCAGGCCAAGATATAAGCTTCAGTGAACCCAGGCTTGTGAACAAGGGTAAACAACCCTCATCAAGCGTGACAGTTTAGCACTATACATACTGAGAAAAATCATGCTTCTGCACATTTGGGACTTCGTAACTTGCATCTCCACTGTCACGCCCAAAACTTCTGTTTTGAACTTAGTAAAAAAGCTCTGACACTGTCTTTATACCAAAGTATCTATATACATACTTTGCGAAGCCAATGAAGTCTTCATGGTTGGTGTTGATGTAAGAAACCTGGATATCAATCAGCAGCAGCACCTATTAGGGGAGACAAGAGACCAAAACAGAATGGGTGATGTGGAAGAGTGAGACAAGAACAAAACTTTGAGTTTTCTCCATTATTAAATATTCCTTTCATAATTGTTCATGCCCAAAGCAACAATATTTTCTAAATCTCACCACTTCTGTTTGTATGCTTGTTAAATTAACTAGACTACAAAAGAGCTTAGCCCCTTCCCCATATTTTCTGTTTCAACTTACTACTTGCTGATCCTTCTAGATCCCAGAGACAGAATTTAAATCAAACTTTATAATTTAACCAGGCAAAGAACTTGCTAAGACATTGGAGAAAACCCACTCCCCACTCCTGCTCAGCTTCTTGAACATACAGGAGACTGAAGGAAGCCATGATTTGACTTTCTCCCATCTTTCCATTTTCCATTTATCAGGAGGGAGCAAGGAAAAAAGCTATTGCCACCACCACAGCCACCAAATTTCTTACAAAATCTTGCTGAATGTGACGTAAAAGAAGAAGCCTTTTATTATCTTCTTCCCACTCCTATCCAAAGCTTCATAACCGAAACTAATAACATCAAGATGTATAATTACCCAATCCACTATCCATACTGATGCCCCTGAGGCATCAACTTATCAGTAAACACTATTGTCAGACTGTGATAGTAAGAACACTTGGATGGATAAACCTCAGTGACAATAAAGTATGAATTTTACTTTTATAAAACATTGAAATAACAACTACTTTATTGGAATACAAGGCTCTCCTTACCTACAAAAAAATCCCACCAAGTTGTTTCCAATATGAAGCCCAAACTTCTACATGCTTATTGTGCCATATCAAAGCATCCCACTACTGTGGTTTTGAACAAGACCTAAACACTAAGACAGTAACTTCACTTGGATCTGTCCCTTCAGCATTTAGTCTCCTCCAAGTGTCCAGTTATTTCTGCACAGCTCCACAAACACAGCATCACTCCCAAATTCTTCACCACTTCCAAATTCTACTTAGTCTCACGCACGGCAGAAGATAGCAGGGATTTGGGTTTAGCTCTAACCTCCAAAAATATCCTCACTAGCATTTTGATTTATTAAGGGTAACTGTTAACAGCATAAATAATGATGTGACTATGTGACAATAACCTATTTGACCAATTTTTGGCATTTACAGAAAGGGGGTATTTTGTATTTTGTTCTGGGAAATTGCCAGGTATGCGCACACAATGAAGAACAGAAAAATAAGAAATAAAATTTTAAGTAATTTCTATCTTCTTCCAAATTTTGAAGTAACTGGATGTGCTAACTAGAACTCCCTGAAAGCACAAGCCCAGCAAATAAGTTTTTCAAGATGATTTTTAAAGACTACATGCACAGAACAGTTTAATGGAAACGAAGTAGGATATGCTGCACAGCTCACTAACTAGCAAGCCAGGAGACCAGAACTGCTAAGGAGCCCCTCTTTCCCAAATATTTTTGTTGTCACACTCTTTACTCCCTAGACAATAATTCCCATTTCCACTCCCAGTGGATTTTCTCTCATGTAGTCTAAGCTTTAAAGTTTCCTGGATTTGGAGTGCTCAGCTGTATGATCAATGTCTTAGAGACATTTCTCCAAAATGTATTTATTTATTGTTAACTTCAAGGAAAACTACAGCCAGAGAAGCTGTACATCCACGAACCCAGAAAGGTGCTGATGAACAAAGTTTTGAAACTCTGAATTTAAAATACCACAGTCAGAAGTTATCAGCTTAATAGCAGTCCCTCTGTGCTTTAGAGGGGTTATAGGAGAAGACTTGTTCTTGCTAATTTTAGAATCCAAAGGAGGGATTACTTTTTAATCTTCAGATTTGAGACATTGCTTTTCAAGGTACAAAATAGCCCTCAGGAGTCAGCTCCAGTGGTTCTAAGCACCTTAAGCTTGCCAACATGGCCAGAGGCAGCAGGGCTACGTTGCTCAGTTCAGCCTATGTGCTTTTGCTACTGTTCAGCATCACAGAACTTCAGCAGCAATGCTTGCCTGAACTCACACATCCTCTACGTGGCTTGTCACTCCTGCAAGAGTTCTAGTGCAATTGCTTGTTGGCCTCACTGTGATTAGAGCATAGGATTGGTCTGTTAAAAAAGCCTGAAAGCAAAGCATTAAAAAAGCTGGATATTTCTGTGTGCATTTGTTGGATCATGAGTCATTTCCCCACAAACAGCTGTTATGGCACAGCTAAGACGATGGCCCGCTGTGGCACAGGAATGATCACTAAACCAACATTGCCACTGGGGCCTGGTATCCTTAAGTCATGTCTTGAGCTGACTGGATACAAGGTACCATCGTCTGGAGGCAACGTGCCCAGTTGTGTAATGCTGTTTCTGAGCCATCAGGCCCTGGTATAAAGAGGCAAGTTGCATTAGCCTGAATGTAACTCTGGAGCTGGGCCGCTTCCAGCCAGTTCATGGAACTAGCAGGAGAAACGAGCTCTTTCTGCCCATGGCCCGACTCACAACCACAGGCTCTGAGACAAAAGCATCTCCCTTTCGTCTTCGGCATTCTTAATGCTTAATGGGAAAAAAAAAAAAAAAAAAAAAAGGAAGAGGAAATGAGAAGAAACTCAGAACAATTGGAGAAATGTGTCTTGGTTCTACGTAGATACTGAAGAGAAAACAGGATCAGAATTTGCCTGCAGATGCCAACTGTCCTGAATTAAGCTATGATATTGATTAACTGACTCACCTTTTTCATTTTACAGTAATTCCCAGAGCTCTATGCCTGGAGTTTCACCAAGAGGGACAGAAGAACTATGGTCATTGTGTTAAAATAAAGCAAGCAGATAAATTTTTCTTTCATCTTTCATTACTTTCTTGTGTAAGGAGCATGATCACTTCCAAGAAGCACACAAGAAGCACAGTAGGGTGCAAGATGATGATGAACATGTGACAGAGTACTCAGATCCCCACCGTAAATTATAGGAATGTAAGGCTTACTCTAAATTACATTGTTTAGCTGTCACTAAGAATCAGGACATCAGCCTCCTTCCTGGGTCACAGTCTCTACAGGCATTGACAGGGAGAGGATGATTGATACCGGCTCTGTACTGCCAGCACCTCTCCTTGCTACCTCCATGCCCTCTTGAAAGGACAATTAGGATTTTCTACAGCAATTAGGATTTTCTGGTCTCCTCTGTCAAACCTCAGTGGTAGAAGAGCAATTTCGCCCCCGTTCCCAAGTGTCGCCTGCTGCAGCAGATATCTTTCATTATCTTACTTTACTTTATATGTAATAACTTTCTTCCTCCAAACATTTCCCTGAACATTTCCTTAAATGTTGTATATGCTCTCACCTGATCCTTCGTCTTCTCCTCTCTTTCACGAATATAGCCAGCAACAATTCTTTCTGTTTCCTCACACAGCCTTGGATATGTTGCCAGCTGAAAAGCGAAAATAATACAAATTTACAGCTGCAGGGTGGCTTCAGTAGAATACAAACAGAGAAACCTCCACTTCTCTCTCTGCAGGAAAAATATTATAAATTCTTGGGCTAACCATTAAGTAGACTACAAAGGAAACCTTACTTGCTATTAATGATAATTTTACAGAGAAACTGGAGGGACTTAAACCCTTAGATTGTTTCTGCATTTTTGCTCCACAACACATTGAGAAAAGGACATTTAGGACATCATTGTTTGGAATAAAAGCAACTGCAACATTGAAATCTTAATGCTTGCAGCTCTTTTATCCAAATACAATGTAAGTCTCTCTTAAATAGGAAAAGACAGGATTTAATCCATAAATGTATACCAAGAATAGCACACTGCTAAGAGAGCAAAATATCAACACAGAAAGAAAGCAATCACGTAAACCTAAAAGAAAACCATCTTTAAACACTGTAATTACAAGGCGTGGATGAATCAAGGTGTGATAAAAAGACATCCAGACTTTTGCTGTATCTAATTATTATGAATTTTTGGGGGGGAAAGTTGTTTATTCCAGCTTTTGGTTTCTGTCAACTGTTATTACATTAGGAAAAAAAACATGGAATTGAATACCTGATAGACCATCTGTTGTATCTAGAACTGTGTTGTCACCCAGCCCTAAGGATCATTAACAATGGCAACTTAAACTATCATTCTATTTTGAAGTAATTGTTTAGAATTAAAGCTTCAGGTGATAAAAAAAGAGGGAAGAGATCAGTCTCTTCAATAACAATAAGAAGTGCTTACACTACATACCCCCATGTAGACGTGCATATAGACATGTACGCATATCTACACATTGTACTTAGAAGAGAGCTACGTGTATAGAATCTGCATATTTCAGTCTACTTTAAATCGTTAACAACTACTTATCATTGATCTGTCTTCACTACCTAACCTAATGGTCTCTTTCCATTACAGAGATAAAAAACGAGTTGGGGAAATGAGCTGAGTAACAGATCTTTCTAAAAATTCACAATTAAAAATAATTTATTTTCCCAGGGTGGGTTCCCATTACTAAAGACGAACTATTTGTAAACAGTGAGAACTATAAAATAAATTTTAATATCATAAAATGATTTGATAATAATTGTAATTGTAGCATCATAGAACATAAAATCATACATTTGTAAATATTACAAGTCATATATAAAAAATATTTAGATGCAACGATGCAACACAACTTGTCACAATCTAAGCAATCCCACTCAGAAGTAGCAGAAGGTTCCAAATGCAGATCTGGGATAAAACATTAGGAAGGGCTGACAGTCTCACAGCACTGCCTTTCACCTTAGCTTGTCATGTCCCTTGAATACACCCTACAATCAACACAAAGCTCCAGGGAACTAATGGGAAGGCATCGCATAAAAGTTATTTTCCTAAATATATTTATTATATATTTATATATATATATAAACACACACATTCTAAAGCAACGTGCATAAGAGCACTGTAACAAAGCCTCAATTGCTAAAGCACAAGTCATCAACCATTCCAACAGAAGGATTTACCTGACATTTTACCTGACTGCCTAAAAAACTTTGAGAGAAGAGCTTCCCATGCTGCGCTACCTTATTCCTTGTTTATTATGACAAAATAGACAACAAGATATTAGCACATTTTTAACTGGTTAGTACATTCATCTCTACATCTCTAAGTTGTTCACTTATCCTACTTAGCTACTCCAACTTAGATATTCATAGTGGCTGCAGTATTATCAATACATTGCATACCGGAATAGTCCAGAAGACAAATTAAACAAAAGAAAAAAAAAAACAAAACATAAGCTGGTATACAACACTTAAACATTAAGCACACTCTAAAAATAATGCTATGCTGTGAGCGTGCTTACTCAAGAGCAAGTGAGCAGGGAACAATTTACACCAAAAACCAGTTTATCAGCCTTGTGGTGAAATGTCTTAATGCCTCTCTCTTGTGTGTCTAATTCCAGAGCAGTACTCTAAATAATTTTCAAGTTTCTAGCTCTTTGAAGGCTCCACCTTGTGGCAACATCTTTGCATATCAATAACAGCCTTTAAAACATCACCAATAAAATGCAAGGGTAAGCTTAACCAACAGCACTAGGAAAAGACTCTGCACAATTAATCAATCAATTCAAGTGACTTATCTTTCCAATTTGAAAAAAAAAAAAAAAAAAGGATTTAGGAATTCAGCTCAAAATTTTGTGATTAATTCAAATCCCTATGGTCTCTGCCGAAAGACAATCATCCTTTCCTGTTTTAAGAAATAGCTCATTTATCTCCTGAGAGATAAAGAGTTGCATTATTCAGAGGAATGTAAAGATTATGGCAGGATATTTCTCAACAACTTCAGCATATCAGTGCTCATATCCCAGACCTGCTCCTGGACTTTCTACAAATAGGGTGCCCTGCATTCTGACACGGTGAGAAAGACAAATGAACAAGAGGTGAAACAAATAAAAGTAGCCAGTTAGGTAAGAAATCTACAAGAGTCGACACTACCTAAAATATAACAGAGCAAAAGGAGGAAAGATAACTGACAATCAACTGCTAATTGCCAATGTTCCAGGCAAGTAAGTAATATTCACAGATAACATCTTTCCTATGAAATCTGTTTGGGGGGAAAATAGCATCTGTCCCTCTCCACATCAGTGAAGTACTCTCAACTGATGTCTGATCATTGCATTCACTCAGCTTCACATTAATACCTGACATGCTTCCTTAGTCCCACCTGAGCAGGGGAAAATTTGAGGTTTCATTTTAACACTATGGAACAACTTACGCATACGCTTCAGGAAAAACATTCCCAAACACTCATACCAACACTGCGTTTAATTTTGATTAACCAATTTGATAAGCCATTACTATTGTAGGATAACAACTTTAATAGATGCATGCAATTTTCATATCAGGAAGCTCAATACTCAGCAGTGCTTTCCACATAAAGGTTTGACATTTCTGTGCAGCAGCAGCAAGCTCATTTGTCAACACTAATACAAGGATGTACAAATAGAAGGGAGATGAAATCTTCCTGGCATTCTACTTCTAACTTCTTGACAGCTGGACACTGTGAGCATTGGGGTGGTTTATGAGAAAAGCACAGGAGATTTTATGGCTCCCTGACTTTGCAAAGAACTGTGGTACCACCCAATACAGAATGAGTATTTTTTCCTCCTTGATAGGACACCTCTCTGAACACCTCTAGAGTGAAAGCCTCAGATAAGTTTCACTGTTTCTTCCTCTTGTAAGCATTAAGAAAGAAGATTTTCCAAGTACAATTTCTTTTTTCCAGATTTACATATGAGCAGAGTTGCTGCCTACGTTCCATTTGCAGCACCCACGAAAACATGATTATGAAGTAGAAGCCAGAGGGCAACCCCTGACTCAACAAAACTCCAATCAGGAGATGTATATACGCAAAATATAGGGCTCAAAAAGAGCACATTTTCAGCATTATTTTGTTTTTGAGTATTGCAGAAGTTGAAACTATTTAGTTTTACTCTAAATAAACTAGCTCAAATCTCTTAAAAGACCCTAGAATGCAAGGCACACTTAGTGTTAGCTACTATATCATGCTCTACTTACATTGCCAGATCTATTTACCAGTTACCTTTTTAGTGCATTTCTTGACTGTGTTGATTAACTCTTGCATCACCAGATCCACGCTTTTTAAGCACGGTCCTTTCAGCTTGACAATCTGTTTTTTAACAATAGCTTCAAATGCCATATCTGGAGTAAACAAACCTGTTCTGTGGACATGAAAGAATATGTGAGGTAGTAATACATCCTGCAAGGTTGTTTTTTTTTTTTTTAACCTAGTTGCTCATCTACATTTTCAGAAGCTTAGAGCTGAATTATGATGATATCCCCATACAGCCTTCTGTAGAACTAAATTTGCTTCTTTCTCTTTAAAAATGAAAGTGTAGTTGTGTAGTAAGAATATAGAAATTGAAACATGCCCCACCCTAGTACTGCAAAAAACTTGACTGCAAAAACTCTAAAAAGTATTGGAATAATATGGTGAAGCCTCTTCAGCAGCGCCCCAAACCTTAGAGGTGAATGGCAGCACTCCATGTACAACCACTTGCAGAGTAAGCCAGGAAGAATCCTATAATTGCATTTCACTCTGCACTCACAACAGTAAATATGGTTCTGTTACCCGGAGCCATACGTGGAGAATTTCAGTTTGCCACTGCACCGTATGTGAACTTGTATAAACAAGCATCTCACAGAAACAGTTTTAAACAAACAGCCCTTACTTCTCTTTCAAACACTGCTTGCAAAGATCTAGCTTGACAGATCGTAAGTTTTATAAAAAAGCAAACTTTAAAAACATGCCCAGAACTAATAGCTTGCCACCACAAATTGCTCATCTAGACCTTGCCACCAATAAAACTGAAAAAGTTCAAATACTGTACCACAACTACTGGAATCATCTATTTGAGAATTTAAGAACTTAAAACACATATTATAGAAGCTGGCTGTAAGCCCACTGCAACATGATCTTAGATCACAACAACATTGTAACGGCTAGCAGGTAACAACAATTGCATATGAATTCAATTTCGCTATGCCCAAGAAGAAAACACTTTGTCTTAGGAGTTTGTGTGCATGTTTTATGTATGCTTCTTTGTGAATCCAACATCTTGTATCCTACTTAAGAAATAGGCAAGGCCTACCCCAGTATTTCAAGAAGTTAAACAAGAAATGGAAGACAAATATGCCCACTCCCCTGGGACAAAAACTGCAGAGACAAAACTTCTCCAGAAGAAAGAGAACCTGTCAAAGAGCACCTATGTTTTTGTATTGCCAACATAGACAAATTCTTGAAAAAGTTTTCATAATGAGACTGAAATTCCAGACGATGCTGCCTGCCACAGTCCTGTACATTTAAATGGATTTTTAACTGAAATTCAAGATAGCTCACTGTTGTGCCTGGCCTTTAAACTTGTGCTTTCATTATGTGCTTTATAGAGGTTTCTGACTTGTCCAAAACTGCATTACTTCATAACTTTGTCTTTTTCTTAGAAGAACAAAGTTCTCCTCACAAACCATACTCACAAATTCCTCAAGCAAGCCACTGCATCAGCGTTCCCCAAACCATGATCATTATAATGAAAGAATAGTTTCCCTAAATGTTTTGCAGTGATGTCCACCATGCATCAAAAAGTTCATATAGGAGTTGCATCTGATATTGAATTAATTGGGTAGGGCGATTAAAAATTAGCAGAAAAAGGGGCAGCTAAGAACTTCTGTGTATGCATGGTTACAATCAGTTACACCAATTCCAACAGCCTTCATGCAGTGGAAATCCTATGTTATATTGGAAATTAAAAAAAAAAAGTCTTTGATTTTCTCTGTAAAATACTTTTCCAAGATTTCCAGGTAAATTAAACCTCTTCAGGCAAACCAGCTGATCAGCCCAAAATAGGTACCTGAAAAACAGAAGTGTGAAGGAGTGGAAGAAAAAAGTCAGCTGTTGGGAGCAGTGCCTTAGTAATGTAGTCTAGCAATCAGTAGCCAGTGTCTCCACAGGTTAAAGAAACCAAACCCTCTGCAACACGATCAGGCTTGAAAACATGGGAGCACTTGCCTGATACCATGTATGTTCTTGATGGCATAACTTATTTCTCTCCGCAGTTCTTTCTCATTGAACTCCATCTAGAAGAACAAAAGCATTTGAAATCATATGAGGTGAAGTTCTGATATAAAATAGAAAATATTACTTCTCCCTATATAACTGGAAGACAAGCAAGTTCAACTAACATACTGTTAATTTCTAATCACACTAAAGGCATAAGTATTTTAAAATGTACCAACACTAAAGCTACAGACAACAATAAGGAGTGTTGGAAATTATTCACCCTTTTGGGTGAATCTTTTGGGATGTTTTTGCAGAGCATTCCAAAAAGAAACATGGAGTTGCTGGAGTAAGCCAGAAACATCATTCAGAAGATGCAACTTTTTTTTTTTTTCAAAATAGGTGGAAGGAAGCCTATAAAAAGTGTCAAAGAATGCAGACTAGAAATACAGTGGGTTCACGGTGAGGGGAAAATGAAGTCACTGCAGTGAAAGAAAAGGTAAAAGAACATATAACAAATCCATAAAAAACAGTTTACTTGTTCACAGACTACAAAACCACAGTTTTTTCTGTTATTCTGAGGATGGGTGAGCAAGAAGAGATGTATCAAGAGGAAAAATGTCATCTCTGAACACATTTGCTTATGCTTCACTTCCCCTCCCCTTCCCACTATGGAAAGGTGGGACTGAAAGCTGGCTTTGTCTTATGTTCCGAAAACAGGAAGTAGAAAAGCCAGAAAATAGTTATTTTCTATTACTCTAGTTTTAACAGGTACTAGCTATTTGAACACAGCAACCTGAATTTGCCAACCATAGCTTTTTCTTTGCCCCCCTCCCACCCCAACCAGAACGAAGATGTCATTTGTGATTAAAAAATAAAAAAGCATGGCAAGCAGTAAGAACTATGACTTTCATCATATTTTAACTACTATATTTCAGAATCCTCAGCATCTCTAAGTATCCACAACTAGAAATGAAACTAAATGTCTCAATCATCACTTGATGTAATTTCTTTCACAGTTAAAATCAAGTTCTTCCGATCAAACTTCGTCTTCACTTTACTATGAACATAGGAATACATAAATAAAACTCAAAGAACACCACTAAAATGGATAAATACCTTCACTAGTTCAAAAGGGAAACGTTCATGGAAAATACGATTAATTTTGGCACCTCCTGAAAGTTCTAGCGTATCGACCTGATCTCCCGATCCTTCGATTCTTTTTTCAAAGTCCACTGAAAACTGTTGTACCATCCTAAATTTCAAAGGGAGGAGAAAAAAGATATACTTCAGCACATCAACTATCAACCGTTACTTCAGTACTATGCATGTATTATTGACTTAAAACACGTTTAGGAATTTACAAGAGTATTTACAAGAGTTCATCCAGCTCAGTTGCCAATGCAGGTTGCTATACTTCTCTTTGCAAATCCATTCCACCATACACTCACATCATTCTCTCTCACAAGACATAGCTCAGTATATACTATTTTCTTTCTTCATAGTTTTTTTTTTTTTAAATACTGCTTATGAAACTGTATATTAAAGTCAGAAACACATACAGCAGCATACCAGGCTACATCTTTGTTTTGCTAATGATCACAAAATTGTAAATGCATCTTCTATTACATACATGCTATCCTATTTTATTCAGAAAAGAAAAAGTGATGGCAGTCATTGTAGTAGGATAAGCAAATACAAGTCTCAATGTTTAAGCTATAATACTTGTACTGTGTGAATCGAAAAGCACTCATACTTAAATGTCATTACAGAAACAGAAGAGTGCAATGGGGCAGACCACGACAACGAAAAACTCCAATCTTATAGCAAGAGTTACCATCTGTGGAGAGGTCACTTTTCTACAATGACCCTTTGATCTTTCTAACGTCTTTCAAAAAGACACAGTCCAACAGCACGATGTGTACCAAGCCATTAAACTGATCCAGGGCTGGCAGATCAGTGCTGGCAGAGCAGTGGCAGCCAAGTTAGTTAACTTTCCCATGCCAAACAACTCGCCCAGGAGCCAGTACTAACAAGCCAACGCGTTAGCTATCAGTACCACAGACTGCAGCTTACTCAGTTGTGCTTAGACTTCTACATCAGAAGCACTTAGACATACATATGAGAATTTCTCCAGTTACAGAATGATCAGGGAGAGATTTTTTAAAATTATTTTAAAAGTAAGCACAAGCATCTGGCCTAATGTTTGAAGCAACGGATTCAGCCAAAAAGTAACAGTGCACATCATCTTTCTTAAACCTCAGATACCTATGCAGCCTGGGCTAACAAAAATTATGGAAACAGTGCAAGCGTAGAGCTCCCCGAATCAATTTTTGAAGAGGACTGCAGAAAATTATCTTACAGGGGAGAATCATAGACTATCCTGAGATGGAGGGGGCACAAAGATCACCAAATTCAACTCCTGGTTCCACACAGGATCACCCCAAAATCAGACCTTATTTCTGAGAGCTTTGTCCGAACGCTTCTTGAACTCCAGCAGGCTTGGTGCTGTGACCACTGCCCTAGGGACCTGTTCCAGTGCCCGACCATCCTCTTCAGCTAAGAACCTTTTCCTAACCCCCAGCCTGACCCTCCCCTGTCCCAGCTCCATGCCGTCCCCTCGGGTCCTGTCACTGTCCCCAGAGAGCAGAGCTCAGCGCCTGCCCCTCTGCTCCCCTCATGAGGAAGCTGCAGGCCGCCATGAGGCCTCCTCTCAGCCTGCTCTGAAGAAACCGCGTTACCTCAGCTGCTCCTCAGACATCTTGCCTTCCAGTCCCTTCACCACCTTTTTTTTTTTTTTTTTTTTTTTTTTTTTTTTTTTTTTTTTTAACTCTTTTGGAGGCTCTCTAATAGTTTTGTGTTCTTTTTGTACTGTGGAGCCCAAAACAACACACAGCGCTCGAGGTGAGGCTGCACCAGTGCAGAGCGGGACAATCCCTTCCCTCGTCTGGCTGGCAGTGCTGGGCCTGAGGCACCCCGTGGTGTGGCTGCCCCTCCCGGCTGCCAGGCCTCTCTACCCACAACAAAGTCAACAATTCCTCATAATTTAGTATCATAGAATAAATAAGGTTGGAAAAGACCTCCACAATCATTTCATCCAACCACCCCCCTACCACCAATGTCACCCACTAAACCATGTTCCCAAGCACCACATCATCCAACCTTTCCTTAAACACCCCCAGGGACGGTGACTCCACCACCTCCCTGGGCAACCTGCTCCAAAGACTGCTCTTTCTGAGAAGAAATTCCTCAGGATTTCCAACCTCAACTTCCTCTGGTGCAACTTGAGGCCATTCCCTCTTGTCCTATCATCTACAAACTTACTCAAAACACTTTCAAGTTATTTAAGAAAACATTAAAGAGAACTGGCCCTAAAATGGAGCCCTGGGGAACCCCACTAGTGACCAGCTTCCAGCCTGATGTAACCCCAGTTACTATAACCCGTTGAGCCCAACCCATCAGCCAATTGTTCACCCATTGTATTATGTTTTTACCTAGCTGGAGATTTTATCCAGAAGAATATTGCAAGAAACAGTATCAAAAGCTTTACTGAAATCCAAAGAGATTACATCTAATGGCTTCTCTTGGTCAACTAGATGGGTGATGTTTTCATGAACGGAAATTTGCTAGTAAACAGGGTAAGTGCAGGTAGTTTATTTTCTTACATGTATTATGGAACTTGTTATTGAGAATCAGAGGGAAGTTTCTAGCTGTGTTACTTTCCACAGACCAAATGAAAAGCAAGGAAAATCCTTACTGACAGAAGTTAATTTCTGCTATAGCACCTACTAAAATGAAGGTATTAGAAAAGCAGGGTAATTTAGGCTAAAATGGATTATTTTTTTTTTCCTTTAGGCAGTATTACAATAGTAGAGCAACCCTAAGATGCCAGCAGCACTTAACAAGTCATAAAGTCAAATGTTTTTCTAGCAGCTAAATGACCAAATATACAGGTTGAAAAAAACAAAAACAAAACTGTGTTGTACTCTCCTAGAGGAGTCCTAGGTTATATCCTCAGGTTTTTCTTTCAACCAGAACATCTGAAGTAAAGTTACGAGGGACAGACTTAGGTCTATGTTTTCAGACCCAGCTGTTACAAAAACAAGGACTAAATCGAAGTCTCCAACTGGCTCAGGAAAGCCTCATTAGTTCAGGTGACCATTTTCCACTTACAATTAAGGCATGGATTCTGTCCAAAACTCACACATTTTCACAAGCCAATGCTATTACCATCTAAACCAAAGAACCCAGTGATTAGTATCAGCTCCTGCAGGAAGGAGTTCTGTAACATAGGCGCACATCCTGTGGATTACTACCTACAACTAATTTTGATCTTGCCATCCTCGAATTCTTTCGGATGGCCAAGTTTCCGTATCAGAAAAAGAAGCATTCCTTATTCTCTTTTCAAGCACCTCATCTTACAGATTTCTAATGATCTCCTCCCTTTGCCTGAGGTCATCTTTATGACAGGCTGAAGAATGTGTCCATACAATCAGAAGCAGCTTCTTACCTTCAATCATCTGTGTCACCCATCTTTGTATCTTTTCCTGTCCTGGTTTCTCTCTTTCTATGACTACTAATATTAATTTAGTGAAAATCATGCTGAAAGTGGTTAAGTGTTCTGGAATACCACGCACAAAATTCTTTAGAATTCACATATAGAATTTTTAGCCATATCCTTATCTTAAAATAATGTAAGTCCATTAGGGAAAAAAAAATACAAAGCAAAACAAACCTACAGACAGTGGAAAAACAGATAAAAGACTAAACACTCACTGCAACAAGGCTTTCGTTTTTCTGGTTGGATCTTCAGGTCTGAAGTTTTTGTATACTTCTACTTCATGTTCTATAGAAAGCAGCTGACTCTGGAGTTTGCTCCTGAAGGCAGGCAGGGTATCCCGAATATGATTGGTAAGTTGCTAAAAAGCAAATAAAAGTCCTTTTATGTTGTTAATAAAGATGAAAGCAAGGGTACAGCCATTTCCTTCTAACTGCCAAGCACATCAACCGTAACCTGTGCTAGTTTACCAGTGTAATTCCTTTTGATGTCTGAAACAGTGGAGACAGTTAAAGAACATCACAACACCCCTTGCATATACACAATATCTGGAGGCTTGAGAAACTTCTTGACCTTCTCACTCACTGAGCCCTGTTACAACATACTTGTTTAGCTACACACTAAAGAGTTACTTTAATTTGAAACAACCTCAATCATAATAACTCTGCATTCTGATGCCACATCTATTTTGTTGATTTTCCTAATGAAGTTTTGCAATTCTCTATACACTTGTTAAGCATGATAATTCCTTCACAGCGGCAAAGCAGTGTAGGACAAGGAATAGATTCTGAGCATCCACAACCCTTTGAGAACAGTGACAAAAGGAAATACAGACATACAGAGCACCCACTCAGCACTCTCCCACTACTTAGAAAAGTCACTTTCACATTTCTACCTCCTTCTATGAAGAACACTAAGGAGAAGAGATTTTGTCCTCATATTAATGATTATAGCACTTTAAAAAAAGTTAAACTTAATTTTTGGCCAAAGAAGGTTCTATGACTGAAAAATAATGGTCTTCATTTGTGAAACCGTACCTAAAAATATTAGAAAATAAACTGAAGGACAGTAAAAAAGTCTTATCAAAGTTGTAAAGGTTTAACATATCCCAGTTACTCTTGCAGATATATGCTGAAATGTCTTTAGACAGCACTATCAACTACCTGTACCATAAGTTTCTCGTGCATTGTATCCATTCCTTGATTGAAACAACAATGGACTATGTTGCAAACCCTCTTCTCAATCCCAATCACACAGTCTATAAATAAATAATGTCAAATACCAAAGTATGTAAACTCAAAACAAAAGTTGTTCAGCAGACCCGAAAGGCACAAAATCAAAACCTGGGGTTTCCCTGGAGCACCACCTTGTGGATGCAGAAAAATTTGAATACTACCTGCAACCATAAACATGAATAGTATGTGTTTAACAACTTAGGGACAACACTTGAATATTACATATGGGGATATCTATGCAACATATGGTAACAGCAACAGAAGACAGGTCATACTGAAACAGATAAATTTAAAAAACAGCTCAAAAAAAAAAAGGTAGCAGTACATAAAGTAATGTAAGTCAGGACGTGCAAGACAAGGAAACATGAAGCTCAATTGCTTCAGGCTCAAAACTAAGAAATACATTATTACTCTTTCAAAATATAAAGAGGCAAAGCATCCTAAACACAGGCCAACTTTTAGGATGCAGGCAAGTTCTTGCATCCTGCTGATTTTTTTTTTCTAAGGCACAAATAAATGGCATTAGCATTCCTTCTGAGCAAGTCCAGAGTATTCCTTAACCTGGCTGTCAAGATTCAACAGCTGCAAAGTCACTGCAGCAAGAAATTAAGCAGGCCAGCCCCACTTAGTTTCCTTCTTCTAGTCAAGAGCTCTTCTTCTGTTTCCAGCTGCTATCAAAAATGGACAAAGCCAGGTTGACCTGGTCTTTGTCTATTCCAGATCAAAACCAGCTATTTTTCTCCAGTGAACTGGAGAAAATACTATAAAGTTTGACATTTAGAAATGCCAAGAACCCCGTTTTGGCTGGTAAAACTGAGTTTCAAAATAATAGTAATAGCAGTAATCATTTGAAAAAATAATAGTAATGCCAGTAATAATTGAGAAAATCATAGCATCATCAGCAATTCTAGGGAGGCAGGGAAGATTTGATGTTGTCCATTTTGGACTTGAGATGCATCATTGGTCATGTTCTATTCAAGCTGTGAACGGAACATTACTGAAGTGGTGAAAAGAATTAAAAACCCCTTGAAGCATGGTATAGGTAGTGTACTGACTTGGACAGTAAGCTACTGGTTTCTCCTCCAGGTAACTGGGAAACTGACTTCCATTTCCTGCTGAAGAAACCTGCAGTCTGACAAGGTTTGGCATGAACTCATAGAAACAGACCAGAGGTTTGCGCAAAAATAAGAGCGGTGTGAATCATCTCCTCTGATCACAGTATTTGTCATTTATATCATTAGTGTATGGTACACTGTTGCTATTAAAAGCTACAATGAAGCATAGATTTTATGGTTAAAGTACAGACATACAGGGAACCCTCAGGACACATGATTTCTAAAAATGTCTTCTTCCCTCCCCACCAGTTTCTAAGTTTGATTTCAAAAAGCCCTGTTAAACGAGAAGAAATGTGACAGTTAAGGAATAGGACAATATACATGTAGAAATAACTGGGAAGGGAGAAGAAACTTACTTTCTATGATCCTATTCAGTATTCAACAGAACAGGGAAGTGCAGAACTGTCAGTAAAAGCCAGAAACTGCATTTTTATCAGGTTAAAAAAAAAAAACAAAAACAAAACAGAAGTTCCAAACAAAACTGGGTAAGAGAGAATTCATCCAGAGCATGAAAAGGGGCAGGGAGTGGTTATAAAAGCACGCTGGGATTGGAATATGTTATGACCCCAGTGCTCCATGACCACTTACACGTGTCACCTTCATTTTCCTTCTTTTGTACCTGTACTTCCAGTTTTGTAGATCAAATGCATATAGTTTTGCTTTGCTAGAGCAAACTCATATTTCTAAGAGTTTTTGCAAGGAATGCCAATTCTTCCCCAAGGCAGCAGAGAACCTCTGTACCCTCTAATGGTCAAAATCAGCTTCTACACAATCTCGCTCATAGTCACCTAAGTCCACCCATTGTCCACAGTGCAGCTCAAAAAAAAAAAAAAAAAAAAAAAGAATGTAGGTTACAACTATGTGCTTCTGTGCACAGCCTCAGAGGAAAGAAGTACATTAAATGGCTCATTACCCTCCAGCATCTTCCCAAGAATTGTAAGGGGAACGTCTACATTACTGTACTGCATTTGTGACTAATGCTATAGCCCAAACCTCAACTTTTAGGTAATACTAAAAGAAGCTACTTTACTAATTTGTAAAAATCTAAACCGGAATAAAACATTAAAGAACTTCTGAAGTTGTAAAACTACAGAGTCACAGGGTACCATTATGAGCTTAGGTCTAGATGCATAACGTACCAAAATTGACTGATTTTTTTGAGCCACAAAACATGACTCAGGAGAAAAGTCAAGGCTGAATGTTACGGAAGCTTCCATCCTTGATAATTTATGTTTAGCAATCTTAATGATTCTCGGTGTATGTATGCTGACAAGAGTCCAAAAACTAGGTCCTCTGCTTCTCACAGCACATATGTATATGATACATGTAATATACAACTTTGTTTATTACATTATGAAAAGTAAAAAGGTTAAAAGCAGGAAAGAATAAATAAGGTTCACTGGCCAACATTTATTTTAAGGAAGATTTTATAATGATCCTGTCATTACGAGAGCTGCCTCTCACCACAAAAAACTTAGGTTTTACCTGGTTTAGAACTTTTTGGAGATACGGTGTTCCCATCCGATCTGCCATGTGCCTGTATGCTGGATGGGAAAGAAAGAATTTCCTTTCTGCTAGGAGAGCTGCCTTGATGTCCTTCTTCCCATCAATGTCCTTCTGGCTTCTGTTCACAACACCAATATAACCTGAATCAACACAAAACCAACGGGCATGTCAATGCAGCTATTCTCTGCATAACTGAATTCATATTAAATTGAACGACACTGGCTCAGCTCAAATTAAAGTTTCCAGTTCAGATATTTCAGGTATTGTGTACAAGTATTATAACAAACTTAAACAGGATGAACAAATTGGATGTTACATAAAATAGATACACTTCCTTTTAAATCTCCAATTCAAATGCAGCAATACCTGAAATTTTGGTGTACCCCAAAGAAACCTCTTCAAATAAACATGAACACAAAACTAAGGAAGACCCAACAGGTAAGCATAAGATAAGTAAATAATATGGTATTAGCAAAATCCAGGAAAACTGAGAAATATCTTCATGTCTGCTGGACCACCACATTCATAAATTGTTTTCCGTAAACATAAACTGGGAGTAGATGATGGTCCCTTCAGTAAAGTATAACTAGGAGCAAAATTCTTGATATTGTTAACAGTGCAAGTGACTGGTACAGTAGCTGTTATTGTGTGTTATTATGTGTGGAACAATAACAGAACATTTCTGGAAGGGGTCAAAACTATGTTAACAGCAAGATTACCAAGGCTCTGATGCTGACTTCTGCCATACGTAAGGAAAAAAAAAAAGATTCCTTTGTTGCAAAGGACAGCGATCTGGCACAGAAAATTGCCTAATAACCTGTACTGACTTTTTCTGCTTCCTCTGGAATATGCAGTGTATTTTCCAGGTCTAGAAATAAATTATTTTACTATTGGATAGTTTTAGCACAGCCCCCTTCCATGTTTGCTAAATAGAATGTGATAAGAGCTAAGAACTCATCAAGTCCAGAATAACTTTTGATTCATCTCCAGAACTTTCTAACATCACCTTTACCTGAAACTTCTTTTGTATTGCAAACAATAGGGGCAATCAAACATTTTTACCTCTACGAAGAGGGAGTAGCTTATTTTCTAAAATTTCTCTTGCGTCTGTTCCTTCATCCATCAGATCCAATTTTGTGATCACACCAATGGTCCTAAGGCCTGACCAGGTCCAAAGGCAGGCAGAAAAAAAAAAGATAGTGAAGAATCATTTATATTCAGGAAGAACAATTACATCTTATAATTCTATAACAATTATTACAAATATGTGATTATTTCAAAACAAGTACTGCACAAGACCAGCCACAACCACAAATAAGAGTATGTCTGGAAAAGAAGGGGTCATCATTGCCAGCAATTAAAAAGCATTCCTCAAATCTGTTTAACAAAGCTCAGCAATTTTTTTTTCAATGATGCTTACCCTGAGGGTCCACTTCCTTAGCCAACTTCAGAGCATCTGAGTTGGCCAGATCAGTGTTAGCTGGAGTCACAGCCAGTATCAGACAGTTTTCTCGAGCGATGAACTGCATTATCATGTCTCTGATCTGTACCTCAATATCTGGAGGCTGATCCCCTACTGGCACTTTTGTGATTCCCGGCAAGTCAATAAGAGTCAGGCTTAATACTGTATGGAAAACACAGAATCATAACATTGGTTAACATACCAGACATGTCTAAAGAGATCTACACATCTAAGGCTGAAGACAGATTTTAATCATCTAAACCCTATATAATTACTTTTTTAAGTACATAAACATTGCTAGTGGTTCAAATAAAATACCTGACAACCTGGACAGTACACTTGATAGCATAGTTCCCTCCAGAGTCTTTCACTTGGATTTCAGAATACTATTTAATATTTTAAATATTAAGCACTATTCACTATATGAGTTGTATGCTGAAAGTCACTAGGCGCTCTTAGACAAATTAACGTGGCTTTCTGAGCTTCTTCCATTCCTGACAGCACAGATAACAGGCCATCAGACCATTCCTATTTATATTTCAAGGGAATCCATCTGGACTATCCAGAGGGTGGCAAAAGTTTTTTCCCCACTATGTCTCCCACCTCCTACTATGTGTCTTTATTAGTAAGTTTACTAGTGAGCTACTAATAGAATATGTGCTGGGGGAGGGACTGTTTTCACTTTCATGTAAAGCGGGAATATTTTTAAATCACGAGGATGTTAAATGGGATAGAGCCTGTGTTCTGGCCAACCAACAGCTCTCTGCAGCAGAACAGCTTCGTAACATATTAGAAACTGAGGATTCTTACGCATGTACATGTATACTCACTTTTAGTCCAACTCAGTGTCAGAAATCTTTGCATCCCAGACTACTAATCAAGCAATGAGAACACGTACAAAAAGAGCACCAAATGGACAGAGTTCTGAAATATGTTACATCACTTGAATATAGAGCACAATGGGGAATATAGAGGAGAATGATTTTACCTACCATGTGGAGAATATATTCTTAAATTAATAGGAATTGAAGAAATGCCTTTGTTCACTCCTGTTATTCTATCCGTTTCTACTTCAATTTCCTGACGAACTTCATCAAAATCAGTAAATTTCCTTCCTTTGCAGTGTAGAAATTCAGCATATTCTGTGAAAAATATCAATAGCATCTCTGTATTTCACAGGCTCATAACAGTCTTAAGCACCTACTTTCAAGCCCTTTGTATTCTTCAGATGTTCACGCACAAAAGTACATCATCATGTGTATCCAGAAAGCATTATATATGAACACATGCCATAAATATGACTGCACAGATGAAAACCAGCCAAAACCAAGAAAAGATTAGTTAAAAAAGCCAAATTAACTCTCATATCCTAAGCATTCCATCTCCTGGAACAACCTTAAAGATTGAAATAAATACCATTTACATTAACAGAACGAGGAACAGTTTTCAGTGCAGAATCTGAGTTTTCATCTGATTGCTTTGCCTGTAATACAGCACTACACTGAGGAAAAGTAATTCAAGTTCTGTATCATGAAAGATTAGCATTTGTTTTCAAAAACTAACAGCCTGTGTTACATATGATTTTACCAAGGGAATGCTGCACATTTTACACATTCATAACCAAAATAAGAGCACTTAAGACACTTCAATGTTTTTAAACTCAACTCTTCAATGCCTAAGGACTTCTTGTGGCTTAAATTGAAGCCACATTTAAAAGTTGATGAAAGTTTTTATAGATGCGGCTGTGATTTCGCTGGTGGTAAAACACAATTTCTGAGCCTTCAGTCATCGTACAGCTTGCCCCATCAACCAGGAATCAACTTGTCTTCAGAGACAGATACAGTCTAATTTTTCAGACTCAGAAATGACCTGCTTTGACTCTCGAGTCCAAATACTGATGCTATTTGTTGTATCCCTCTGGGTTTCCTGCCCTTGAGGTGCATAACCAAACACACATCTCTTAAAAGTGTAATTTCTTCCTTCAAAACAGGACAAACACAAAGTTTATCCCACGTAGCGAGGGCACAAGCAGAAATTAGTGATGTAAATGGTAATGACAGACACGAGCACATGCCTCACCCCTACTGGGCCTAAGCAGCAGGACTGGAGAAAGGCTGGACAAAATGGCGCACGTCCCAGTTGATTTTGCTCTGTAGTCAAGGCCTGATCTCACCGTCCCTTTTAGGTGCTTCTTCCCCACAAGATGTTTTTGATAAAAATCCCTCAAACACCAGGGTAAAGAACTTGCTTGATACTCAGAGAACGGCAGCTCAGGAGAGCAGATCCAAGGGGACAAATGAATAGCGGGCCTTATCCATCAGGACTGAAGTCTGCTTCTCAGGTTTCCCAACTGTCACTTTATTACTGTTGCTGACTGCATTGTTAAAAAATAAAATAGTCAAAACTGCATTCAAAACCATAGCAACAGTTAAAGCAAAAAAGAAGTGAAACAAGGAAGGCAAAAAACAGACACCAGCGTTTCTGCCTTACAGTACTGTAATCCCTTTGAATTTGAAGTGTGAGGGTCAGGGAATCCCACCCTTGCTGAGAAAAAAATAACACATCTCATTTTAAGAGCAAAAGAGCACCTAAAAACCCCTCCACCTTACTTTTCGCAGCACTAAGTACTCCAGTGTATAGTATATTCCTTTTCACATCCAGCAGAAAAGATGACAATGAATGAGGGGTTTATTTGTTTAACATTCAACTCTCTATTAAGGAAACAACAAGGAATATTCAAATATTTCCAATTAAAAGACAACACGGTACACAGAATTAAACATCTTTGTTGATTCAGATCAAGCTTCAAGTACAAAATAAACTGTATTCTTAGCTGCACCTTTTCATTCACTAGCTCATAAGATTTTCTCAGAAAAAGATTTCAAAAATTCAAACAACTAATAGGTCATGCCCAGTTATAATCAGTTGACACTCGAGGAAGCTTTTCTCTTTATTCCATTTCACACTTAATAACAGAAAGAGTCCCTGTCTGAAACGAAGATAATTCAAATTTTAAAGTTTACTACCTTTCAGCTATGATTAATATTTATCAATTGCTTACTCCTCTCAGGGACATCTGCAGTCCCGTTAGCTCTGAAGGAGCAGGCTTTACAGCTCCTCATAACCTGGGGTGCCACGCACAGCCTACGGAATTAAAATTCAGATGAACAAGCCGTGCTTTGTTTGGATCCCCAGCCCCAGCCTGTCCTTGGCAATGATGCCCTCAGCCCGACTAGACGAGCACATGCTCTAATGCAATCGTCAGTTTTCGTACACAGAAGCATACCAGGAACACATCTTATTTAACTTTTTGTGGGAATCGACATAAAATCATTCAGAACGAGTGATCCTGCCTAGCTGTCCAGTTTTCAGAAATATATTTTCTGTATAAAACTTAAGTTATGTCAATAGAAAGAAAAAAATAAAACATCTTTGTGTGTAGAATACTCTTCTGTTTTTAAACACAGAATCACTCAAAGCAGCTTGGATAACATTGATAGAAAAATCTACCACAGCATAGTTATCTTCAATGCATCCAACCAGAAGTATCACGATAAAAGATAAGTTCCCTTTTCAGTTTTCATTAGACAAATCATGCAAACAAGTGTTATGGGATAACATTTTTCCAAATGCTCCTCATTTTTTCCCCTTGTGTCATTTCTCCCTACGCTTTTATGATTTCATCTAGCCAACGATAGCCTTCTTCTACAGATGATGCTTTCTGTGCATTTGACCATTCATACAGCCATCCTCCAGACATTTCTCTTAAAGCTAGAGGCAAAGCTCTAGCCAAAATCTTTCCACGACTGGAAACAAAAAAAAAAAAAAAAAAAAGCAGAAGGACTAAAGATCAGACTATTTCTGTTAATGGATCTTGCACAATATTTACTTCTGTATTTTACAACAGCATGACATCAGTGGCCTGTGTTCTGCTACTGTATTACTGTGAGTGCCGCTGCTGAGCAGCTCAGATGGCTGCAGGCGCTGCTACCAGTACAGCACAGCCATGCAGCAGCAAGCAAGGTGCTGTAAGGCTGCAGACGCTGCTCTCACAGCTTAAATTCAGGTTTCAGACAGGCAGCGCTACCCCTCTTCTAACATGTTAGCCCTGTTTGAATGACAAATCTCTCATTCGCCCAAGAAGGCATCACCAGTCACAACCACCCTGTGGTGATGGTCATTCTCTTAGCTTTTGGGGTTTGCACCTCCTCAGCCTTCACTGTTTTCCACAGCATCCCTGTTCATCATCTGAATGAGTGGCTGCCAGATAGTGAGATCCAGAAAAGGGCAGCCACAATCTTCCTTTCCTCCCTGCAAAGTCCTTCCCTTACTGGGGCACCTTTCGAGTTTTTGTCCTTGAAGACCTCCAAATGCATGCCTGCTGATGAGGTCTGTAAGATTGTTTGTGCTAGCTGTAGTAAACAGCCTAAATTATTTTCAGAGGTTTTTTCCATTTTCTCTTAGGGGACTTTTTTTTGCCACCAGATGGCAATAAAAGATGGATATGCTTAAAAGACTCACAGCAGAAGATACTTGCATTAAAGCTCAGCAACTTCAATAAGAAAGAATACCTACAAGACTTCTGAAAAAAAAAAAAAATCAATGTTTTTTGAACCTTATGGTGATTTACTTTCTATTTCTACTTAATGTTCTAATTAGCAGAACTGAAACACCTGCAGCAATTGTACATGCAGTTCATTCATCTAAAAACGTTCAGCTCAATACTGATTTTCAAAACCTTAACGTGCCATTTCTTTAGCACAGAGATTGAAAAATTGACTTCTTTAAAAAGTTAATAAAACGAGGCAAACAACCCTCCTAGCACCAAGATATTTTAACATTTAAATTGCAAATAACAGCATTTATATAGCATTTTTAACAAACATAAAACCTAGGACAATAGCTTCACCCAAAACCAGACCAGACCTTTTTGCTGTCACTGATGTTTAGAAAGCATAGTACCGAGTCTCAAGGAATCTAGATAATTATTTCACTTTCACAGGCAGGAGAAAACACATCAAGAGGAAGAACAGATTGCCTAAGGTTAAAGGGAATCTGTGGCAAATGCAATAAATAATAATGGAAAACAAACTCTTAACACCTTTTCAGTTGTTCTAAGTCATTATCTTCTCAAAGCTTACTCAGCAGCACCAATTACAAGTATCAGCTTCCAGTATCAACTAACTCCTGTAGAAACATACTTAATCTTACTGAAATACTAAATCAAAAAATCCATCTAGGAAATACACTGACAGTTGTGAGACAAAAATTTTGCATGTTTAAAAATAGGCTTTAACACCTAAATTAAGGCATACCAGCTCAAAGGAAGAAACACTCACCAGCTCAGTAGCTCTCCTTTAAGGAATTACGATAACACAGGACAAATCACTACAGGTTAGTGCCCTAAGAGAACTGTAAGAGTTGAAATGAAACCTAGGTAAGCTTATGGAAATTCCACTTGTGCTGCTCCAAGACTACTGAACATTAATGCAGTCTTTAAAAACCCTCGTCCCAGTTCATGCTGGGTGCCAGCACATGTCTTAGAGATGCACAAAGAAAAATACTTCTAAGAGCACAACTGCAGGAATATGTGATGCATTTCTCCTCCTGAAAAGGAATCAAGAGCAAGAAAGTATGAAAACAGCACTCTACACTTATTAGTAACTGCTGAAACATCCCCACTGCTGAGCACATAAAACAAAATCTGTCTGGTCAGAAGAGGAGAGCTTCCTGTATCTGAGGCTGCAGCAGTTGCTTAAAGAACTGGCACGTCTATTACCTGCTTTGGACATCAGGCTCTCATAAAATAAACTGCCCTCACATCCAACTTCTCACCCAGGAGAAGGGTGAACAGAATTCCTCCTACAGACATGTCTTATTGTCTTTAACCACTTCCAAAAAGGAATCTAAAATATCTTGCAGTCAGGTCTCCATGCCTACCTCTTACAGTATATAGATAGCATTCCCCTTCCCCCAAGGAACAATTTATCACAACTGCCTTGTAACACCTGAACTCAGTTCCCCATCAGAGGCTGCCAGCTAACAGCACCCTGCCACACTTGTGCCTTCTAAAAACTCCCTGAATTGGATCCTCCTGGAGGGGACTGTTTCCTCCTAAAGCTTTCGGTTTGCTGAGCTATTCAGAAACTAGCAAAAAGGAAGGCACCCAAGAGCAAGAACCTTGTCAGACCTGACACAAGACATTCCCAACGCTGCAGAACTCTGATCACAGAGAAGGACATGGAGGCACATCTAGATGGTTCATCGTGCTTGTCGGGAAGTCTTTCATTCCTGCTTTCTGTGCGGGGAAACGAAGCCACGTTACCAGAATTTGTGTCTGTTTGCTGCAGAACAATGACTTCAGGCTTATCTGGTTCAATTCCCTCTCTCAGCAAGATGCTATATGCCATCTTTCTTAACAGAAGAGAAGCAACTGAGTCAAAAATATGAGGTAAAGACTGAGCATGCAGAACCGTGACTCTACCTACAGGGCTGCCAATGGACTTCTCTGGGACAAGTAACGAGTGCCAGCCTCCCACTGCCAGAAGACAGCCAGCTTGGAACCTCAAATATTTACAAGATGGAGATGTTTTGGTTTTTTTCCTCCTCTAGCTGGTACAGTGGTTTATCAAATGCAGGCCACATTTAAAACTTCATTTGAAATGCAGCTAGGCAGTTCCAAGAAGACACAAGAAAAACCCTAAGTATGACACTCAAGAACAAGAGAGAGTCCTTTGAAGGACTGTACATTTATTTTTAATGTACATATTTTAACTTATTCTATACCACCATGTATTTCTCAAACTCATACATTATCACACTCAAAAGAAAATAGGCACAGCTGCTGAAGACTGTCTTGCCAGGTGTAATATTTAATTAAAACTTCTGTATTTGTTTCCAAGATTTCAGCTGAGTACGGTATTTTCATGGGTGTGGAAGTACAAATGACAAAGCCACATGCAACAAAAAAACTTGTTACAGTGATTAGAGGAAGTCAACAGGTCACTATAAAATAGCTTTGCACTAGTTACACAGAATTTAAAAAAAACAATGTAGACAAAACTTAAAACAAACAAACAAACAAACAAAAAAACCTCTATGTCTTCAGAGATGCACTTCTTAGTATTGGATTGTTTCATGTTACCACCTGCATACTCTCATTTTTAAAGCGGAGAACAAGACCAGTACTTTACCCAGATATTTCAGGTCCTTTCAGATGCTGGAGGGTCCCGATAACTCCTCACAGCCAAACCCTGCTGTACATTTCCACGACACCTCCAAGCCAAATATTGAGTGGCCAAAGTTTTCCTCTGGGGTGTGCACAAATGCCTCAGCTGCCAAACCTGAATCCTTAGTGCAACCACTCAAAGGTAAGTGAAGCTTTAACCACTTCCAAAATGAATCTAAAATATCTTGCAGTCAGGTCTCCATGCCTACCTCTTACGGTATATAGAAAGCATTCCCCTTCCCCCAAGGAATAATGAGATTAAGAATAGTTATTTTTAAAAGAGTCGAGAAAATTCCTAACACTAGAGACCAGCCAAGCTTTTTACAGTAGCACGAACCTGATAATGTCCTCCAATTACTTTCTATAGCATTTTAAATAATTATGAACTTGATAAAAATCAGTCCAGCATCTGCTTCCTGTAAAAGAACACTGTGCTTCTCTAAGCAGTTTTATTTTCTCTCTTTAAAATTAGTTCAGAAAGATAAAAGTGGCTTAAAGATAAGGATATTTAGAATTTGACCACCAAAACCAACAACAACAAATGGAGCAGTTTAAAGAAAGTAACAAAATAATCAAAGCCTGTATTTTCAAAGGTTTCTTGGCACTGAAGCACAACCAATAAATATACAGCATTTCCCAAAGGGAGAAGTATGTCCCAGCATCCAGGAAACAAGAAATTAGGTGGAAGCTCACTTTCTCAGATTTTTGGAGTTCTTGCTGTGTTTTTAAGTTAAAATGAAAACAAACAAAAAAAAAATACTTCATAGCAAGGAAGGCACTCATACAAAAATGGAGATGTCTATCTAAAGCTGGTAAAATTATGTGAATATACTAATGGAGAAAAAAACAGAGAGAGAATCCCTTTAACTGATCATTTAATCAAACAGACAATTATGATTTTACAAAATAAGGCAATACAGCTCAGGCAAGGATAAGTTTAGGATGTGGATGTCATGGAAGAAGTATTCAACCACCTCAGGTTAGGAGTGTAAGAGTTGGCTTACTGATTCTTCTGGCCCCACAGTTTAGCCATTTTGTTAGGAATAGCAGCATAGAGCTTGATTCTTTTTTTTGTTTTTCTTCTGCTCTTACATGATGCTGGGAAAATTAGACAAAGATTCTCCAAAGCTAGATTTTATTCATGCATTTCAGCATCTTCTGTCAGGGCTCTAAAGCCAGAGATGCAGCAGTGACAAGAGCTCACACCTCCAACTTAAATGAATTTGACCTTTTTGTATATATAAAGCACAGTACACGTACTACACACTTGAAAACTCCCAGGTTTAAGATGGGAATACATAAATAATGGATTCCACATTTTTTCTTTTCTCTTCCATAGTATAAGACTATGGCAAACTTCATAGAGGCATTGAAAATAAAAGCTTTCTTTACAAGCAGTAATTCAGAGAAAAATTTAGAGCCTATGCAGACTGAAGTCTACCTTCCTGTAAATGACAAAGAGACCTTTAAGGAAAAGAACACGCAAAAACTTAATTAAATCTCTCACACAGAGACAGATTGAAGTTCTACTGGAAGCTTCAATTTTATTTCTTCCTGAGTTTCACAGTGTTTCACAACTTAAAGAGCACTTCTTTTCCTTTTTAAGGCTGATTTGGATGTAACTTCTTTCTTTTTACTATTTTAAGAGGATATCAACAGTAAATCAGTGATATTGTTGCTTACATTGGTTTAGAATGGAAAAAAAGTGAATGACAGAAAAACTGTTTATAAAATATGCCAGAGAACCAAGCTACATAACAGCAGACAAAGCACCACTTGGAAGAGTACGAAGTTGGTAAATTCCAATGACAGGTCTCAGTACTTCACGTAGCTCAGTGGGATACACATGCTGTATTTTTATTTTGACCAGACAAATACACAGAAGCCCAATTCTCACAAAGGCTACCTTCTGCTCTGCTTAGTGCAGTGAGTCCAACTAAAAAAGACAAGTCACGAAAACAAGCTGTGTGGAACCAAATCTATGGCACTGGAGCAAGAGCTGAAGGCAGAAATACCATAATTCTGGGGTGTTAACACAATTGAAAAACTCATCAAGAAATGAAAAATCAAAGCTAATTTTTAAAACAATTTGTATGTATTGTTTTTTCTCCTCTGCCATAATTTCTATCTTGGACCAAATTGACTATGTGCTCTAGGATTTACACTTTAATGATTTATCAGGATAATGAGATTGATTTTCTTGAGGGTACAATTCCAAAGCAGCAGGCCTTTGTTGCAGACAGTACAGGAGCATCTCTCTTCACACTGCTTAAGTTTTTGTGGACTTTTTTTCTCCTGCTGAAGTACACACCAACACTTTGTCAAGACATTAAATTGAGAAGCAAGAGCAGTTACCTGTTTTGGCAGTGACAAGTTGCAAGACCAATGGTCTTCTTGTTACAATTCCAGAACCTCGTGGAAGAAAATCCCTAGAAATATAAAAAGAAATAAGTTGTTACAACCCAGAAAAGACTGGCCAGTTTCTAAGATATTGGACTAATTTGGAACTTCCTCTGTACCTTCAGCTGCAATGAAAATGGAAAGTTGGTGGGGGAAGATTTACATCAAGCTGTACAATAAAGTAGGGCTGTTAATTTCAATTTGAGATAGCAAGGGGTCAACAAATACATAGCAAAATTAAATTACCAATCTAGGAGCATTACTGATTCTCTTTCCTCATGATCATCACACATAGTGTCTCAAAACATACAATTCATAGAAAGAGTATCAAAAACAATGCCCACATTTACTGGACTCTCCAAATAAATGTGTCCTACCCTCTACTCCCTTTGAACATACATAGAGAATATAGACATATGAATACAAACTCTCGTTAAAACAGAGATAATGCAAAAAGCATCACACACAGAGTAATTTAAATCCACTGTGATGTTTTACAACATGTAAGCTAGTTGTTGTATCCTATTGCTTTCTCAAAGGTGCCAAAGTTTATCAAAACGTCTATCACAATTTCTTTTACCTATCAACTGGGAGATGCCTGTCTCACAGCAGAGTGCCAGCTACAGATATTTTCTCATGGGGAAGAAGAGAAATTCGTAACAAAAACATACTCCTTTTACTGTTTGTATTGAAATGACAGTAGCCTAGGGTATAGAAAATGCGTACCAAGATGACAGTTTCATACTTGGATTTTTGATTTATTTTTTCTCTTTAACAAGAAGCTGAAAGGAATTGCTATTCAGGACAAACCGATCACTTAAAACAAACTAGGGCCCTTTACAATACCACGTGAGGCACTAAAATCCTTCTTCAGGGAGTTAGAGGATAAAAAGACTTACCGATTTTCTGCTTCAGACTAAGCACAGCCAGAGATCAAGAACACCACATTAACACAACTCCTAGTTACACAACGCTGACAGCAAAATTGCAAAGAAATGAAGCCAACAACTTTCAGAACATTCCCTTTCCCTGTCTGCAATAGATTGCATTTGATAACCCTCTCTAAGAAGTTGAACTACTGTCAAAAAGCCCATCGTCTGTTCGAGCAAGCATGAGCAGAAAGCTGGCTGAGCTCCCGCTCGGTGAGGGTGATAACCACCTGAACAGTGAATGGCAGGAGGACACAAGGCTTCTGCTCCAAATGTACAGTCTGAAGCCAAAAAAATGACAAAGGGTGAGGAGAACAAAGTGTTCATAGGGAGAGTTTAGGAGAAAACCCAATAGGCTGGTTTATCCTGGAACCAAGCAGCAGTGCTGAAGTGTCAGCATCGCGGCTGCAGCACTGCATGAATATGCAGAGATACTGTAAGAGCTGGGCATATCAGAGTGCTGAATACATATTTTACCTGTATAAAAAAAGAAAAAAAGACACTGACCTCAATTTAAAATTCTGCTCCCACAGGGACAGGGAATTTTTATTACTATTATTTTCAAAAAATCTGGAATTTCAGCTTTAACCACAAGGCAATGGTATCCATGCACTTGCTCTGCACAGCCCAGATCAGGTGCTACGAACAAACACAGAAAATCTCCTTCTAGAAAAAAAAGCAGTTCTTTAAATACACAGAAATCAAACCTAAATCATACTTTTCACTTTTTTTAGGAAAAGTAACATGGTACTGCCTTACAACTCCAGCAGTGAAACACATTAAACACTGTGCTACTGCTTGTGCAGAAACGCCTGCTCTGAAATCCACAGGACAGGATGAAGATGCTTTCCCCCTCCCCGTGGTCTAGAAAGCATTCTTTCTAGAACGAAGAACGCTGTTCAGGAATAAGGCTGAGAACCAAAGCCACACTCCTTTAAAAGTCGTGCATCCTACCAGAAGGATCAAGCCACTTTTACATCTTGATTCTCAGAGCGTTTCCAGCACAAGTCCCTCTGCTGACAGCCGCTGCCCCAGCCCAGCAGCAATGCAGCTGTGACGTGATGAGCTGGAGGCTGGCAGCACAGCCTGTCCAGTGCTGCCCAGCCAGAACTGAATAGATCAAACACAAATGAGATGCAAGCAGCCAAGCAGTCAAGAACATTACTTCAGGAACTCATCAGCCTTAGAACCCGCTCATCTGTTGGAATACCATTAGATATTTTTAGGGCCAAATAGTTTTTACCCTAGAAGCTTTAAAATTACTGATGTATTTACTTAATCAGTAGCTAATCCTGGTCATTTCCAGTGTCACAAATCTGAACAAGTATATCCACTAAAATGTTCATTTAACATGCAAATGTAAGAGATGTTAGTTTGAATTTGACTTGCTAAAACCCAGGTCTCCAAAACCGATGTCAAAGGATGGGGAAGCACATTATTAATGGCCATACCAAAACACTATCGGTTTATAGCAACACAACAATTAGGGTCTGATCTTCCCTACAGTGGTTCATGTTAGAGTAAGGAAAAAAGGAAAGATCACATCTCTACATGCCATCTTCGCTTTAGGATACCACCTTCTCTAATGCTCAGGAAGCAAATAAGCTGAAATAGCAATTAGACAATTCGTTAACGGGAAGAGTACTATAGAGGTGAATATCCTTTTAAATTTCAGGAAGGGGTGAAACCACAGTAAAATGCTGAAAAGCTAACTAGGCAGGGGTTACCTTCAACAAGGCTGTCTAGTTATAATGCAGGACTATAGCTGACAAAGGAAAAAAAGTGTATCAAAACCAAAATAGAACCATACTTCTCTTACAGAGGAGCACATATCACCCATCTAAATCTATCAAACGATGTTGGCAACTCATCTCACAGAAATTTTTCCACATCCCAAAGTCCTTCCCACTTCCATAACCTTCCTCAGTGCCTTCCACAGGCCGCTAGAGGAAACAGCGCGGTAGCGAAGGCACCGGCCTTCATTCCCAAGGTTGGCCAAGGAATGCAGTGCAGCTTCAATTGCAACAGGAAGCAATTAGGCCAAAAGTCAACAGTTTTCCTGGGCTTTTTTCCAGCAGACCGGTCATTGTTCCCTGACTGGCACACCAGGAGCACAGCCATCTCTCGATCTGTCGTGCAAAGAGCGGGCGCTCCCACAGCCAACGCGCCTCCAGTTCTGCAGCAGACGTGTGCTGCGCCCAAGTACTACAAAGGGCTTCTGTTGTTTTTGCATTTATCAGTGCTACACAACAACAAAGCAGGAAAAAACACGGTCCAGGCCTACAGAAGAGACATTAAGAATTGCTAACGTCTTTCCTCAGGTTCACTTTTTCAAGCCCATTAACCAAAACCAGCTATTTTTCTATACCGAAAGGGTTGTTAGGCATTGGAACAGGCTGCCCAGGGAAGTGGTTGAGTCACCATCCCTGGAGGTCTTTAAAAGACGTTTAGATGTAGAGCTTAGGGATATGGTTTAGTGGAGGACTTGTTAGTGTTAGGTCAGAGGTTGGACTCGATGATCTTGAGGTCTCTTCCAACCTAGAAATTCTGTGATTCTGTGATCGGTACTTCAGTTTTGACTGCTTTAGCCTTGTGAATTGGTCTGGTTTGGTTTCGTTGGTGGGGTTTTCTTTTTGTTAACGAGAAACTCTGACCCTTGGAGATCTGGAGAAAAAATGGGTCGAGGCAGGGTTGCATGGGGCAGCCTTTCTCTCTGGCAAGCCAAACGGCCTGGGGGGGAGCCAGCCCCAGAAAAGGGGGCCCTCAGCCCCCCCAACCCTCGTCCTTGCTCCACATGAGGGCATCTTTCGGGCCTCTCCCAAGGCAGCCGCCTTCGGCCTCGCACGGGCCGCTCCATCACAGAGCTTTGCCAAGGTCACAGTGGCCACCAGCGGGCCCGCCCTTGCCCCGGACCCTATAAAAGGGGCCCCCCTGCCCCTGGCCCGCCACTTGCTCAGCGATTTGGTCTTCTGAAAGCCAGCGGCTGAAGGAAGGCCAGAGTTAGGAGCAAAGCGAGCGCGAGGCGAGCAGCAGCCCTTCTCAGTGCGAGGACAAGAAATTGTTCTAGGACCACTGAGGAGGATGTCTGGCTCTGCATGGATGCGCCGTGGGTCGAGGGCCAGCACCTCCAGCACAAGAACCATCAGTGCCCAGGAGGTATCTGGTGCCCGGCCCAAAGGCTATTACCATCAATATCATTGGAGCCGAAGCGATGCGGGGAGCAGGCCGGCCCCTCGGACGGACAGCAGCAGCAGCCCTGGGCCCAGCTGGAGGTCCAGCGATGACGGAGAGCGTGGGTTGGAGGGCCACGGGAAGCGGAGCCGTGCCCAGTGGTCAGCATATGATGTGGGACCCAGCCGTGGCCAAGGGAAAGGAAACAGCAGGAACTCCGTGAATGACAATCAGGCGGAGAACGGAACGGACCCGAGGCCCGGAACTGGGAGGCGTCCTGGTGCGGCACCGTGGCCGGAAAACATGCCCAATGGACGGCAGCCTGTGTGGGCAGTCCCTGCCAGGGACTGGCTCGTCCTCCAACCCGCGGAGCCTATGGAGGTGGGTGCACGAGATGAAGAGGAACCCATGGAAGTGGACCCACCTCAGCCACAACAAACATGGGACTCCGCCGGCAGCTCTCTGAAAAGCGTCCTGAAGGAACACCGGCAGCTGTGCAGAAGGGCTCGGCCAGCTCCCTATTCCGCATCGCCCAGGCTCCACTCCAGGCATTAGCCTGGAGCAATGTGGCAATAAACACCTTTGCCAGTTGTCAGGGGTTGTGTGAGTGCTTCTTTCCCATCCGGCAGCCCTTGTGCGAGAGGTGGCAGCCCTTCTGCGCAAAGCCTTGAGGAAGAGCTCAAGAGAGGCCCCAGCTCCCTTCGGGCTGCTGCGCTGGGGTGACAAGAGGAGTCCCCGGGAACCACCTTTAACATTTGTAAAAATAAACTGAGGGGTGAAAACAGTAGTGCGTGAGTGATTATAGCTGGCTACTTTCTTATATTAGGAGTGAGTTTCTATAACTGAGTAATTGGTAATGACAGACGTGGAGAAGGCTGAGGTACTCAGCAACTTCTTTGCCTCTGTCTGCACTGGTAGAAGGGCTTCCC